ATACGATATGAAAATATAATTGAGCAAATATTAATGTATTGGGATGCGACAATGGTAATATTTTCACTCTTCCTTTTGCTCTGTTTCCTAAATTTTACTGTACTCATCCAATTAAGCCATTTTACATGACATTATTGTCGTTTTCATATGGACTTTTACTGTAAAATTGTCTCTATGCTCTTTGCTAAAAATTTTTATTTTATAATGAATCTTCGTAAAAGTTATTATAAATAGAATAAATATTAATAGATAATTGAAACAATTTGTTGATTACTTAAAATCGTTATTACATTAAAAAAAAAACTGTTCTAATTGATAGAAATCAAGAAAATTATTCATAAAACTAAATTCAGCTGTTCCTGAATATTTAATGGATTTGAATCAAATATAAGTGACTCTCTATATTTTTTTTTAGTTTAAAGCCTTATAAAGATGAAGTTATTCAACGCGCATGATTGAATTAAATATTAAAATTTTAATTTTAATGACAACGAGAGTTTCGTTCTGACAGAGATGTCAGTATTGAAGAGCACATATAATATACCCAGTGTAATCTGGCTTAATAAGCTTATCGTTAGTTGCCTGAGCGCATGTCGTTTTAACTTCACAATATATAATCTTTATCTGAAGTAAAATTAAAGAATACAATATGCCAAACTTATAATAAGAATTAATGTCATACTTCAAATTTTGACTTTTGACATGTAAAAAAGAGAATATTATTTAAAGGATAACTACGGGATGGAGAAAGAAAAACAGAATAAAGAAGGACCAATGATTAAAAGCGACGATTCTTCGAGAGTTAGTGGAATTTTTCGATGAACTTTACCGTCTGGTTTCTGCGTGGAAATAATTATCGTGACCTATTTTCTTTATGTCTAGTACCAGTATTTTTTTTTTCATTTTGTTTTGTTATTAGAAAAAATTAATTGAATAAATAAATAGTGTGGAGCTTCTTTTTCATTATTTCTCTTACAATAGCACGAAATAATTTATAAAATAATTTTATAACTATTCTAATTATATTCTGTATATTCTATAACTGAACAGAATTATAACTAAGGTGAAAAATACCTTGTCATTTTCACGTGTTGGAATTTTTTTTATGTGCACAGAGCTGTATTAAGAGTTGTCAATTTTTTATGTTGAATAATTAAAACCACCAATGCTGCCTGACATTATTTTCCTGTTCATATTTGTAATAAAGTTAGAAATTAACTACATTACTATAGATATGAAATGTTCCCTTCAATTTCAAACTATTTTGTATTTTGCTCTTAAAGTTATATCTGTAATAGGAAAAATTTTACCAATTTCATGTGCAAAATATCACCTAAATTACGATTTTAACATTCAAATGTAAAAACATACTTCTCATGAATTTCCCAAAGGGAAGCAAAACTGTGATGAATTTCATCCCTCCAATGAATGTTTTTGTAATTTTTGACGATCCTCGACTTCAAATAATAATACCCTTGAGAAAAATATACCATATAGTGATATTTCTTGTCATCTAAAATGATAAAATACAAAGAAGGTTAACTTTACGTACATATTTACAATGAGTAAATACGACAGCGTTCAGTCAATTCCACCATAAAAATCGATCAAATTTACTCTGTATTTTACATTTACTCGAGGATTTTATGATCGTAAAGAAGTACATTGTATGATATAATAACACGCCTTTTGAAATTTAAATATGAAAAGAGGAAAGAGAATATACAAATAAAAAAGAAATATATTTCATCCTAGATATAGAATTTTCAATTTTCTATGAAAAATAGTAAAAAAAAGGTGTTTTTTATTTCTATATAAAAATCATACCAATCCTGTCTTTGAGATGATAGTAAAATTTCATTGGAATCCTCATTTCCTCTTTCAACAGCACGTGGCCAAAAGAATTCCCAAGGAGCTTGCAAGTTGCAATGGATTTTAGAGTCTGGAAACGACTGTCTTATCTTTATCTTATCAACCACGATCGAAGTAAAATAAAGTTCAATAAATAACAAAGTCTCTTGTAAATTTTATGCTTCTTATTCCATTTGCTTCATTTTTTTTGTCAATTCTTTCAATCTTTTTTTTTTAAATTAAAACCATCGCAAAAGTGCTGATTCTTTTTTTTTTAAATTCAAACTTCACTTTTTTTTTATTTTTTTAGAATATGAAATAAATTATCGCAAATTTTTTTGTAATATAAAAAACAGACTTTGAAGAAATCTCGAATGATTGGGACATTTAAATGTCTGACTAATAGAATAGGATGATAAATAGTCAGACATGAGTAATAATAATACGATTCTTCCCCTCACGTTTTTTTTTATTTTTCTTACTCTACTTCTCAATATTTCTTCTATATTTTCGTCGCGACAGAAAAAAAATCGTAAAAAAACCTATAAATTGTAAGGGAATTAAATTTTTTGCACACTTTTTTTTTTATTTATTTATTATTTTTAATCTAAAAAGATCAATGCATTTATATTAAACTCAATAAAGCAATAAATAATTTCATTATTTGACTTGTATATAAAAATTTCAATTAGGTTATGACATTATTAAAACCTGTAAGCAGAACATCAGATACATTTTACGAGTGAATGATTTAATTGATAGAAAAAACAAAGTAGGAGTAGGATGTACCTATAAATTGATGTAGGATGAGAACAAAAAAGTTTAAAGGAAAAGTAGTATACTACTAGCTTTGAGGACTAGAAAGTTATTAGTTAATTTTAGTATGCGGGAAAGAACGCATTGATCCATAATGGGGTTTCTCGAGAATATGGATTGAAGGGTGTTGAAAGTGAGAGGTGGAAGATGGACCTTCAGTATAACCGACGGTGTGAACGCAAAAAAGTTCTTGATCACTCGTAAAGCTTTAATAGACAGTTTCAATATAAAGTGACTAAAGAGAAAAACAGGAGATTATAAGAGAAAAAATATTGGAAAACTTTATCAAACGTAGACTGTGTTGGTTCCATAAAATGCCCCTTCTTTTCAAGTTTTGAATGAATTTTATTGAAAAAAAATTTTTATGTTTGTTGTTGAAATAAATATGTATCGTAACATTCATTATTAATTAAAAATCAGGTGGTGAATTAATATTTTATGTTAATTTTTTTTAAAATATGGAAATTTATAAAATAGATTTTTTAATATTAATATATTCATCATTTTTAGTTTATTTTTTATTGATTTCCTCCTTTTCCTAGCTATTAAGCAATTATTGTGTATAATAATAGAGATTTTATTTAAGAGAATATATTAAAAAATCTCAACGAAGGTCAGCTCTTGTAAATTTAAAATAAATTTTGTTCTACACAACTTTATGTTATGCAGTAAAAAATAATAGAAGTTTAATTTATAAGCTTTCTTGGAACTCGTAACTCAACTTGCAAGATTAAAATGGAAAAATATATATAATAGAGTTAAATATAACATTTTACATTATTGTTTTCGATTTTTATTTAAAAAAAAACTTCATATTTTTATTCCTGATGTTTATCTTTATATTCTTGTCATATCATAATTATTCTTTCAATAAATTTAAATGCAAAGTTGGTATTGAAAAACTTTATTAAAGATAACTTGTATTTTATTTTTTGCTATATTTGTTTGAGATTTCAATAAACTTTATTTAAAAATCATATAAAACAATGAAAAAAAATTTCAATAAATATCGTATCAAAGTAAAATACACATTCAACTGAAGCGAAAATATATTGATTTAGTTTTAAGTTTTTTCCAGCCTCTATACAACAATTTATTGTGTCAGTTGATTTTATGTTTTTATTACATACTATCAAATACCCCCTACATATGTCTTTTACGATGAGAGAACGTTTTATAGACACCCATTTTTGCCTTATCTTAGGTTTGTAGTTGTATTATAAAATGTAATGTTAAAGAATTTTTTATATAGACATTTTATTGGCTAACTAGTTGATCTTAATCAAATAAAAATTCTTCAAACATTCCTTCTATGCTATTTTACTCCAAATTCACTATATAATCAGTATCTTCTCCACCCATTCAGCTTTAGAGCTTGCCAAAAAGAGCTAATCATTCTCTAATAAATATTTCTTTAGAAACTTTTTAATATGCTTCTAATAATAACTTTACAATTCATGACCTTAATTCAATCAATTTTTCATAACATTACAGTGATTTTTTAAAACCGAATGTCTCCAGGGATAAATCATCTGGTATTTTGTTCTCCCCGGAACTTCTCTAGACATGTTCCTCATTTTGTTGTACTTCTATGTACTCACGTATACAATAAACACGCTGGAAGAATCTCCAAGTTCTTCCTCATTCATCTTATCTTTCTTTTTTCACTATACCCATTTCATACAGATCTATATCACACCTCGTGTTCTAACTGAAATTCAGACAAGACAGAGGACAAGCACGTATCCGACCTTCGTATCAACTGAATGTTAGAAACGTGATCGCAAATGAGGTAGGATATTATTAAAGTCCAGCCAGATTACTTGACACCTCTAAGTGTGTCAGTAAAGCTGTGTCATTTTACCAACTATTTTACTAAAAGAAACCGTAATGTAAAAAAGTATCACAGTGTTAAAGTTACGTTAGGGAGTACATTAAAAAAAGTCATTAATCGCCAACGTTCCTTTTTCAGTCCAATATAATCTTTTCCTTTCCGTTAGTAGTCAGACTGAGGTCCAGATGAATGGGCTAGAGGGGAATTTTATCTATGATGGTTGTTTCTCTTAGGGATTGGCATTGTTTCAACTGGACCACAGGCGTTTATATTGCCAGTTACGATTGCACTAACTACTAAGCTATGTGGTCATCTGATAGCACCACTAAGATACTAACGAATTTGATGGATGTCTTAACGACTCTAGACAAAACCATCATAAAAGGGAAATGGAAGCTTGATAATAGTCTGTAATAAATGATTTTGATGATTTTAGGACCGGGCGGAGAACGAGGAGGCCCAGGGCGGAGGTATTGCAGGATCATCTTCAATTGGAGCAGCATCAGGATCGAGGATGGGACCTGGGCCTGATTCTGGCAGCAGCGCCCCATCCTCAGCACCGCACTCTCTTGCAACATCAAGAGAAGAAGAAGATGATGAAGAGGAAGAAAGTAGTGGTCGTCCATCAAGTGGTCCTGGAGCATCGAGGTAAGCTTATTAAATCTACTGCATCCTCTTACGCAACATTTATTTATTAGTGAATAAGTAGCCTGTCTAGCTCAACATTATTATCAAATGGAAAGTTAAAAAATAGCTTGTAGGGATGATAATTAATATACACTTTGGACGAGGATTCCATCATTCTGTGGAATAATATTGAATCAGCACTCAGAGAGCTCGGCTACAGATATAAATTATGTAAGTTTGATAGCAAAGTGCACGATGGACGCAAAAGCTACTTTAATAGTCAGTATACAACCAAAAAGAGGTGTCGCAAGTTGAAACGTGTCTTGACAAGAGTCCCGCAGGCGACAAGATGACTGCAAAGAGAGAAGTAGACTTGAAAGCATACTTGAAAAAAACTTTCAAGTATTTTCCTTCATTTTTATTCTTATTCCGTTAGAACTTGATGAAAACTTGGACCCTTAAAAATCTCCTATCCTATTTTGTATGTGGTAAACTATAACAAATTGTTATTTTGCACGGGTTTTTTCCAGATAACAATAGAACTATTAGGCAAGAAAAATTATAGAAAGTAATGAATCATATGGCATATCATATTTTCTTCAGTCATTTTAACTTGCATCATATGGCTACGAAAGTCACTGTAATATCGTTGATTTATGTATTCACTTTGGCCAACTATTCATTTTAACTCTTTAATAATGACTTATATTATTCATGAAATCTATTTAAAAAGTACTGTTTACTCAAATAATTAAATTCTTGCTAATGGAAATTTACTTAATATTCATTTTATTTTAATTAATTAGAGTTTTCATTTTTACTTTTGATCATTTTATCAACTCAATTAAATCAATACAAGTTTTGATTTAAATTAATTGATGAAAAAATTTTTACAAAATGGATTAAATTTGCGTATTTATCCATAAAGTTGGATAACATTTTTTAATAAACATAGCAGTTATTAGAATTCACTTCATTGTACTTCTTATATATTTTACATTTGATTTTCTAATCTCTGATTGAATTTAATCTTTAATTAAGTTTAATCTATAATTAAATTAGTCATAGCCAATAGAAATTCTTAATCACAACCTTGATTATTATTTCTAAAAATAGAAAGTTTCAAAAAAATATATATCTTCATCATTATTTATTTATTTTGAAATTAATTTATCCAGATTATTCGTTCATCAAAGATTTCTTTTGTTTCATAAAACTTATGGTCAATTGATAAATTTATTATCAAATAAAAGATCTTGAGAATGATTCTAAATTAGGGTCATCAAATTTTGGGATACGAGTTAGAAAATTGCAACATAAAATCTGATTATTGAACAGAAAGTATAAAGAATCACAATAAAAAGCCATATATTGCACATTTTATCGACGACACAGATCCAATAGCAATAAACTTAGTACTGTCAAATGTTTTACTCTCCAATCGCTTGCATCGTATTTCAATAACATCAAACAAGCTTGGAAGCTCCAAGACAAACTAGAAAAGTTATAAATTATATTTGTAAAAATTTAACAATGCAATATTATCCACAGTTTCACTGAGAGATTTTTGCTTGATCAACATCAGTAGTGTTGTATCATTCAAAAAAAAAATGCAATAAAAATTTAGAACAGGTCAAGTGCCCATTTTAAAATACTCTAGTAGTGTCCTAATGCTAACTTATTTATTGCATACGATTGCCCTCAGCTCTCTACTCAGCCGCGAGTGCCGATAATATGCATAATTGGATCGATGCAATCTCTCCGACCTATGCTTTAGTTTTATGCATCAAGGTATTTGCCTGGTGGTATCTATCTAGAATGTAAAAGTTTAGATTCAACTTTTGTGCTAATGACAATTCCCGGAGTTAGTTTTAGAACAATGCCACTAATAGAGACTATTTATTTTCAATTAATTATTATTGCACCTTGTACATAGATTACTCACCAATGAATTGATTTATCTCTTTTAAGAATAATAGAACACTGCTCATCTGAAATAGAAAAAAATATGAGATTAGTATATTCAATAATAAATAAAGAAAAATATTGTCTTTTGTACAAAAATAATTAGCATCATGATGAGAAGTGATATTCATAAAATAAAGTTACATTTGTACAGACCAACCTTAAACCAAATCGATTGACTCCTCAGTAGTTATAATAAGTTAAAATGTTCCTTAAATATCTTCAAGCAGAATAGTATCCTATAGATATTATCAAGATTAACAAAAAGAATAAACTTCGTCCGATACTGGTGCCAATCTTGTCCAATTTCAACCATAATTGAATCAGTATCGACTTTTTTTTACAATAATGATAAAACTATCTACCAATAACTTTCTAAGTGTATTAAATTAACTTGAAATCAACTTTTACTCATTTAAAATTTAAAAACATTAGAGTTATTAATTAAATTGTTTAAAAAAATTAGTTTTCTATTTATTTAATTTTTTTTTTTAGAATAAAAATAATTGTAAATAATTTTCTTTTAGAAGTTTTGAATAAATTATATCCTCTAGCAAAGATAAACAAAGATATAACTTGTATGAGTGAACAAAATTTTAAATAATTAGAGTAGGAAGAACATTAAATACTGTCGTTTATTATACAGTGTTTATATTTACATTTACTTCATAAATGCACAAGTTAAATTTTAGAATTGATATTTAAACAAACAACATACAGCTTCGTCAAAGCTTTTTGTATTTACATTAGAAATTTCGATTCTGCAGACAATACTTATGTTTGCAGCATCCACAAACTTTCCCCTCGAGCATGAAGAGGTTAACTATCTGTCTTGAGTAAATCAGGTTTGCAAGATACAACTTTAAGAGTGAACTGAACAATAGATATTTAACTTTTTAAGTATAATTATTTTTGAAAAGTAATTTTGTATTTAAACCTAACTTTGGTATAAACAATCTATAATCAGCTCAAGTTTAGTAATACAATTGAAATAATAGATTTTTATAAAGCAAAAATGTAATAACTTTCCCAAGATTAAAGTTTATGAATAATGATTTTGATTTATGTGCACATCCAATTTTTAGTAAGCTAGAATGGAATTTCTTGCCAACGTAAACATTAAAGCATTGAATTTTTAAATAAATTATCACATGAATGATAATAATTTTTGATATATTTTTTTATTAAAATTTCAAACTTAAAATTGAAACAATAATTTTTTTTAAATTCTATCAGCAATAATTTTCAAACAATAGTTCCTGAATAAATATAATTAAATAGTTGTGACTTTGTTCATAAAATTCAAAAAGTACTTAAAAGAGATAAGAACCATTAATAATTACAAAGTCATAGTGAACAATGCTTGAAATATTTCTATTAAAAAAAAAAAGTTACTGCTAAATTTGGTTCATAAAGATTTCTCTGAAAACTCCCAACTACACTTTATATGTCCCAGTTAATTTAAAACTGATAAAAAAAATCCTCTGTAGCTCAGTAATAATAATAAATTCATTGAACAACGCAACAAAAAATCTCAAGCCCACTCATGTAATTTATCTGACACCCACCGACTAATTTCCATTGCACACTAGATCAACATGAATTTCAACTCTGTATTCAACTTGAAGCTTTTAAATGTACAATATCAGCAGTTTGTGGGAGTTGATATAAAACAGGACATGAGTTCTTAGTAAGAGAGAATTGAATTAGTCGAGCAAATAAACGTTTACCTGAACCGGAAATAGTACTAGGTTGACATTTGACATAGGAGAGATTGCAATGCCTACAATCTAGACTAAATAGAAGACGAATGTGAGTCCAAGAGCAGATCAGGCAGACAGACAAAGACAGAGAGAAAGTGAAGCATGTGCAGAAAGGCAGCGTTGGTTATTCTTCAGGTCACCCAGAGGTCATCTGTGTCGTCGTTCATCCCTAAGGAAGTCTATCAGCACTGGCTTGGGTTCTGATGCATCGCTGGATTCAATTGACAGCTGTGCGCCTGAACCACCAGTTCCTGAATCAGCTAGACGCCCTCGTAGCTCCAGGGGATCTCAAAAGTGGAGTAATGTACGAGCGGTGATGGCACTCTATTCCTCACTACGGAAGATCAAGAGGTACAGAAGACCTGAGCTACTCAAGGCGAACATGATTGTCTTATTAAAGGAGTCTATATTAATAATATCTTTCTCTTTTCGATGAGACTTTTTTCTTGGTCTAGTGTGCATGTGTTTGCGGATAATTTAGATATTTTTTTTTTCTAATATTCACTTACTCACTTGTACATTTAGAGAACGACTGTATGACTGACAAATCTTAGATTGTTACATCTAGAAGCATATGATACTGATGTAGATAATAGTCATTAGATGAATGCAGATTAGCTGTGTCACGATGGAGTTAATTCATTAATTTAAGTGACTACTAAAGTGATTGAGAATGTCATGTCACGTGTAATTCTAATCTGTATAAATTAGATTGCAAGTTAAGATGTAAAATTGTATACATATATATATACGTATCACTACTAAATTTTAAGGATCTAGAATGATCTTAGTTGTCTCTTGATCACTATCTACTAATACTACTTTCCCTCTCTGTCTGTCTGTCTGTCTGTCTTTACTCTTACACGCACTATCTATCTATTGTTTTTTTGTCCGTCTGTCTCCGTGTATATTTGAAGATGCTAATTTTAGCCGTTTATATTAACTGGATCTTAATCGTAATGATGACAATAAATTATTTATATAAAGCACTTGGATGAGAAAAATAACTTTTATGCGAAGCACATGTGTTAGGGGTCACATCGAAAGGATCAATGAGATTTTTTAGGTCCTAGGGGAGATGATTTCCGATACCTTTCAATCCCATAAGTGCCCCTAAAGTCCATAAAATCCTTAGATCCTGATAAAAAAAGGTGATAAAAATTTCAAAAATGTTGGGTAAATGAAAACTGCTTGAATATTATAGAAGATGCATAATATGAGGGATAGCGTCCAATAATTATTCACTAGGATTTCGTGTAAAAATAATTCTCCCCTCAAATGATCTGTTTTTTTTTAAATTTTTTTAGTAGATTTATTGATTATTTTTTTTTTAATAAGTTTTACTATTCCTAATTTATTTAGATAAATATTTTCATAAGTCATCAATTCTTTATCTTTATTTTTTTTTAGTCTCACAAAAGGATTATTCACTCGAGAAAATACATTAGAAAACATTAGAGGGATAGAATTATTTTACACGGAATTATAAAAAGAAAAAAAAATAAAATAAAAATGTTTTCTTCCAGAACAAAAAGTAATCAACGATGGATGAAGCTTCGCACAACAGTCCAACTGTCATCCGCAATTTCAACGATTCAAAAAAAGCCACCATTAAAACGTGAGGATTCATTTTTGAAAAGATTTTCAACAAGACAAATACCAGAGAGTCAGGAGACTTTAGATACTGCTGAGGGTGAGGGTGATGCTACAGATGACAAGGATGCGCCAAGACGAAAAAGAAGATCAAGAAAACCACAACGACCACCGAAGACAGTTGTGAATCCTGACGAAAACTTTTACTATTACTGGCTGATGCTCCTCTCTGGTTGTGTGCTTTACAATTTATGGACTCTTATTGTTAGGCAGAGTCTTCCTGAACTGCAAGCTCTTGCTCCAACTGCCTGGTTGGCTTGCGACGGATTCACAGATTTAATTTTCTTTCTCGACGTTGGAGTTCAGTTTAGAACTGGTTACCTGGAGCAAGGCTTAATGGTTTATAACAGTAAAAAACTAGCAGGCCACTACCTCAAATCCAAATGGTTCATTCTTGACCTACTTGCACTCGTCCCTTTGGACCTTCTTCAAGTCAATCTAGGAAGCAATCCAATGCTTAGATTTCCCAGATTTTTAAAAATTTATCGAGTGTACAATTATTATTACATGGTTGAGTCCAGAACAGTGTATCCAAATCTATGGAGGGTCCTCAATCTCATTCACATTCTTCTGATACTTGCCCACTGGTTCGGCTGCTTTTACTATCTACTCAGTGAAGCTGAAGACTTTCAAGGGGATTGGGTCTATCCCTATCGACCTGGAGAATATGCTACACTCACACGCAAGTATCTTGGATCACTTTACTGGTCTACATTAACCCTCACTACCATTGGAGATCTACCTACACCGGAAACCAACGCCGAGTGAGTTTTATATTGCAATTTCAGCATTTCATCATTTTTAATTTCATCAAAACGCCCTGATATTCGATGATTTGAGTAGTTTGTGAAAATTGGAAATACGCCAGATGGGCATTTCATCCACCGGGAATAGTATAGGTTGAGTTGGGGAGTATATAGGGCAGTTGTTATCACGGTTACAAGTGAAGCTAAATAATTAGGAGATCCAATAGCTTTTATCGATACCAACTTATCTAACTTTTTGAAATCAAAATTACCCTGTTTTTGCAGTAATTAATCTATTTCTTCCCGAAAAAAATGAAAGGTGAATTATCTTTTCATTAATTCCAGAAGTTTCTTTCTCTCTAATTGAATAAACGTGAATTGTATCCATTATTGATCTCCCTTCGTAACAAATGAATTTTACTATCTTTTTTGCTTCTATTAATCTCTACCCAATAGCTAATCTTAAACTACTCGAATCACGGATTAACCATACATTGAACTTGTCACAATAAAGACACTAGTGTCTAGAAATTAGACTAGTGAGCGGAGAATTGTTGATATGTTGGCAGAGTCTTAGCGGGTGGAAATCCCCGGAGCCTCGCTCGTCGCGGCCGACTGTCCCGGCTACTGCAGTTCAAGCATAACGGAGGGTATATATCAGTATCGTTTCAAACTGACTAAAAAAATAAACGGCACAAAAATATCTAGTATATTTTCTATTGTTAAAAAAAAAAAGTACCGCAAAAGCCAACCTCCCGTCGATTAAAAAGTTCCTTTCCGTGCTGCTTAACTCGCATTGGTATTCATGGTCAATGTTTTTTTTTCAATAATTTAAGGTTGACTAAATATTTTTTGTTTAGTAAATAAAATCATCAAACACCTCCTTTAGTAGCTTTCGTAGACATCACGATCTAGCGAAAAGTCCAATTTTAGCTCGAAACGTGCTCACCTAATGTACGAAATTAGGTCGAGTGTAGTGAAGGTGATGCTACAAAGAGGGTGGATAAAACTCGGATAATGAAGAATAGAAAGTACGAACAAGGGAATAGAAGTGACGTTTACGTGTGTTTTTAGGTGATACTCTCTAACAGCAATTCATTGTCGACGAAGCGTGATCTTTGAATTGCATCTTCGACATCAATTAGTATGAATCATCATCATAAATCATGAATATTCCGACACCTATACACTTCAACTTTCAGTGAATATAATTCTTTTATCTTCAGACATTAAAGTTTACCTGGTCAAAAATATAGCATAGAAGAGTGGGTTTTGAAAAATACATCGTAAAGAAAATGAAAATACAAACGCAGCTCTCAACGTAATAGGTTCAGTTACATCAGAAAAACTCCCTCTGCTATTTCTTTATGCTTTTTTTCTTTCTTTCTTCAATACTTATTGTGCTATATATCTATACGACAATATTTTAACATTCACAGTCTGTTGTTATTTTTACTTCTGCCGAGGTAAAATGTGTCACAATCTATGAAATATTTCTCACTTTAAAAAACACTATTTTTTGTATTTACAAATCGAATAGTCTCTGTAAAAATATTTCTTTCCAGCTATTTTCCTCAGGAACTGTTCTATCGATTTCAATCTGTCAAACGTCATTTCTTTTCTAATCACACATTTGAAAAAAATTTATTATTAAACATAAAAAAGATTCAATGAATTTCAAAAAATTATTCAATATACAATAATAAATCATTGCTCTCTCATTCCAACTTTATCAGAAAAATATTTATTCATCAATAAGTTACAGATGGCTAATGACATGAACTGTAGAACTGAAAATTAATTACTTTTTTTTTTTCATTTTAATTAATGAAATGTCTGTTTCAATAACTATTTAAACATTTGACATTTTTTATATTGCTAATCGACAATTGATTACTAGAATTCATTAAAATTATAATAACACAAATAATTGACTGGTTTAATCCAATATTTACAAAAAAAGTTATTCGAGCAAAAGTTTAATTGAAATCGAGATAAGTTATAGAAGATAATAATAATAAAACAAGTTTGCCAAAAAAATTACAAATTTACTTACAAGTTGTTTTATAAATAGACTTAAAAGTTTGGTAAATTGGTTTGACTAAAGAACGCTAAAAAATAGATAAATTTAAATGAACCTAATGTAAAACAATTATTTTCATTTGACGAATGAGACTGTGATGGAGAAAGGTGGGAAAGAATCTTGATTGTTGAGAAATTTAACTGCCAATAGTAGCAATAACAGAACTATGTGATCACAGAATAATTGAAGCTGAATTCATGGAAACCATTGGTGGTGCTTTTGGTGTGGTTTCAACTTAATGAAAAGTAACTGTTTCAGAAAAAAAAGATGTACTTTGTTCGATGAAAAGTGATTGCATGCTTAAGAAACAAACAGTTGGAAAGTTTCCAACAATGATGCTAAATCGTTGGCGTAAGATAACAGATCTAGTTGACCAAAGAATGGAAATTGAAGCAGGAAAGTTAAGGATATTGTAGCAGAAATAAATGAGACGGTGGGTTTCAATATGAATGTAGAAATATACTTGATCGAGTGAAACGTACATCAAGATAGGATAAAATTGCAATCATTTATGATTTTAGCTCCTTCCTTTTCTTGTGGATATGTATGTGACTAAAAAGAGAAGCTTCAACTCGCAGATAAACACGAAGAGTAAAAGAAACACAAGTGCTTTGTATTGTTGTGTTTTTCTTTTTATTTTTCTTTACGACCATGACAAAGAAAATCCACTGAAGAAATTTTATTTTTCAACAAGTTAAAGATTAGAAGATATCTTCTGATTATAAGATGACGAAATACCAAAAAAAAAAATTAGTCTTTGCTGATATTTTGATCAATTTGATGTTTGAGTATATTCAAAATTAACATTTTTAATTAACTTTACTTTTTTTATATTGTTAACTCATAATAGCAAAGAGATAGTTAATATTCTTGCTGATTTCTCTTTCTCATTTAGAGTGAATTTATCATTATGAACATTTGTAAGTCTTTTTCGCTACAGCACATCATTTACCCAGTCATGCTTTGCACAGGAATTGAGCAAATATCAAAAAAATAACACCAAATACAAATTTCTAAAATCAATACCAAACTCTCTTGAATAAATAACCAAAAAATCTGAAGCAATTTACAATCGAATTAAGGAAATGAAATGGAAATTTTTTTAATAAATAAAATCCTTACTCTCTTGTTGATTATTCAATTTTGTATCGAATCAGCAGATGTTAAAGCATAAATCGATTCAGATTGTACTGATCAGAATCAGTAGAAAAATTATATAAAATTCATGTGAACAGAAAATTAGATCAAGAAAATTTCATGTATCAAAATGTCAATGACCACGTCACTATTACATATCTGATGAAATTATGTAAAATTTTATTGACGTCAATTTGCTTCCGGTAAAAAGCTAAATGATACAAATAGAGAAGTTTAATATGGGTAAAATTCCTGTCATTCACTAATTGTAAATTTAGGATTAAATAAAAAACTTTTTTTGGTATTTAAAAGACCAAAAATGTACATCAGCTGTTGATGAAAGATGGGAAATTAATTGGCAAAAATTAATGAGTGAATAAGTAACAAGAAGATAAGCAATAAAAAGAAAAAGTAACTAATGAAAAAAATGGCCTACTTGACGTGTCCATTGACTTATCAGAAATGACTATGACATTTTGAAAATGTTGAAGACGAGTCGGGAGTATGGGACAATCAATCACGTTTTATCGAGGCGACGCCATTGTCGCGAGTGGATCGATGGAATGCCGGCGGATTTTCGATGTTTCTATCTCTCTCTTGCCTGGGAACGACCAGAAGAAGGAAAACGGGTCATGGATATCTCCAGAGTAGAAGAGAGGATGCTCCGCAATGCGGAAAAGTTTCTTGAACGTCTTTCTCACCAGGATCTCCAGCATGATGGTTTGGAGTGTGACTTTGATGGACAAGTTTGAATTGCAAATTAACATTTAATTGCGATTTCGTTTAAATGGATTGTCGTCGCATGCCAATGAAACCGAATCAGATGGGTGCCAAATCACTATATCGTATACGGTATATCTGATCGGATGTCATGATGAAGATTATCCTGTGTAGGGGCTTTTGCCATGCTGTAATTAAGCCTCCAATAGATTCCACACGGTATTGATGCCTATACCTTGGCGTGTCTCGTCAATAATTAATTTATTCCCAGCTCACACGATAATCCCTCTATCATTTGCATTACCTTTTTTTGTACACATCCATGTATATATGTATACACTTATCAATTATTGTTTTAATGAAATATCACAGTCAAAACTTATGCTTGAATATGAGATGAGGTGCTGATAAGTTGGAATTTCAATCGACTCTTTATGTGTGAATCAGTGAAAGCTTATTAATATACATAGACATATACGTGCGTCAAAGGTGAATATTCGCTAGTTCAAATGAAGGAAACAAGTTGTTGAAGATTAATCTTTCAAATCAATATGGCATTTCATAAAAGCAGAAACAAATTTTTCTTTCAATTACTGAATTTTTTTTCCTTCTGACATATAATTCCTTAATCCAATTAAATTTTTTTTTAATATCATTTTTAATGAAGATAGGCGATGTTTCATAAGATGATTCAATTTTCTTTAAAACATCAAAACACTTTTAAATTAACCAACGAACTTTAATGCAAACAAAGAATTCGTTTAAATAAAAAAAATTCCACCCTGAGGTTGTTTGTTAAGGTTCGCAGTGAAAAGTGAAGAAAAAAAATTAGACAAATACCACTTTATTTGAATAACATAGAAGAAGAAGAAGTATAGTTTTTTTTATTTGTACTATTTTATTGCACGAAGAATAACATTTTGGTGAGAAAAAAATATTGATAACGAAATTTTAAACTGAACTGTGAACTTGTTCCAATCGAATATTTTTTCACATACTTGAGCTATCTCAGAATGAAAATTCATTTTGTTTATATTAAATTCTTTATCAGCTTTGAAGAAAGCATTTTATTAAAAAGAAGAAAGATAATCCTACTATTATCAAGCTCATGATTAAAATTTATGTTATAATCTAATAATCATTGCTTTTAATTATCACCGAGATTTAAATGAATTAACAAATATGTTAATCATTTGACAAAGTTTTATTGTTTCTATTCAAATAAAATATTTTTTTGGTAATAAAAAAAATGATCTTTTTTACTATCGTTTGACTGAATAAAATATTATTGCATAAAAATATTCAAACTTTTATTAAGGCTAGATGGAGGATTTAATGAAGAATTTTTTGCCACTCTGCAGCCAGACTTTACAAAAACTTATCCCGTTCTTTTGAAAATGACATCAAATGAAACTTTACAGAGACATTAGGAGGAAGAATTGACTAAGATATACTCACCAGGATATAAATATTAAAAAATTTGTTTACTTGAATTTAATAAAAATTTTTCTTCACTTCATCACAGACATGAGACTGGAAAGTTTTCAAGTTATTAATAAGCTTCAGTTCAAATGTCATTAACAAATTGTTGAGACCCAAACTATTAGAAAGCGTTCTGATCAAATAGTTCAAGTATTCATGTGACCGCCAATTAAACCATTGTAAACTGACAATCGAAGTAATTAAACTTCATCTTCATTTAATTAAATGACTGAAGTGAGAGCAGTTTGACATTCTTAAGTGTTTTTACAAGATCACCTTAATCACGAAAAAAACTTTTAAAAAAATTTTATTCGAATTTATTTATAAACAATTGAATAATTTTTGAAGACGTTTTATCAATATCAATAAAAAAATATATTCTATTACCATACTTCTCTGCTGAAAAAAGTTAATTATGAAATTCGTTATTCAGTTTTTAAACAAATAGATTTGTGATACTCTGACTTTCTTCTAAAAAAAAAAAATATTCGATGAACTAAATATGAAAAATGTTTTTATATTGAACCATCACACTTGTTTCAGTCAATCTAACTAGTTGATATGTTCTCGACAAATGGCTATCGATCGTACCGCGACCAATCGAATTTCCAGGACAGAATAAATGTCCTGAGGCATCTCAATCGCATGTTCCTCTATATCCTACTATCTCTATTTTCCATTATCACTCCTCAGAAAGCGAGTAAAAAGCTATTTCATCATCAATAATATCTTTGCACTGGACTCCACTATTATTATACATCGACAATAGACTTTTTCTCCTTCGATCCGATCATTTTTAAGAATCACTCAGAGTCTCAATTTTCTTTTTACTTTGATTTCATTGCTAGATAGCCAGAAGCCACAAAATTTAAATCGACCATGAATACTAGATGATTATTCAGAGTAATTTGAGGTTGGAAAAGTTGGGAATTTAGTAAATAAGTGAAAAAATGTGAAATTAAGGAGGAAGGCTCCGGCGGGGCTGCTCGTTATTGCTCGGCCAATTGAAACATTATAACTGATCTTCTGTTTTTATTTTTTTTCTTGTCACGTCTTCTAGATACGTTTTTACCATTGTCAGCTACCTCATCGGTGTGTTCATATTCGCAACAATCGTGGGTCAAGTGGGAAATGTCATCACTAACAGGAATGCTAACAGATTAGAGTTTGAACGACTACTTGATGGTGCTAAAACGTATATGAGGCACCATAAAGTACCAGGAGGGATGAAAAGACGAGTCCTCAGATGGTATGACTATAGCTGGTCGAGAGGGAGAATTCAAGGTGGTGGAGACATCAATACTGCACTTGGTTTACTGCCTGATAAGCTGAAGACTGAACTTGCACTTCACGTCAACTTGTCTGTTCTCAAAAAAGTTACCATTTTTCAGGTATTCATTATATTTTTTTTATTTCTGTCAAATTTTATATTTATTTAAGCCAAATGAAATAGAAAAAAACCATTCGAAAAAAGTACCCATTTAGAATATAGGATATTTCTTCTTTTAATTACAAAAAAATAGCTTCTAAACGTGCTGACTTACAAAGAATAGTATTTCATAAGATTTACAGTTTTAAATATTTTTAAATACTTTTTTGGGCGATGAAAAATTTTCTTAAAGAATTTTTTTTAATATTCCGCTTTCAGACATTTTCAATAAACTGCAAAGTACAGGATGCCAAAAATTTGAGCTAAAATTTTTTTTTTTAACTATGATTATTTTATTCTTGATTTACTTACAGTTTATTAAAGACTTTTGCATACGGGCTGTCATGTTGAAACGCAATGGCTTTTAACACTATTGATAAATTTTCGACCAAAAGTATTGTACAGCTTGAAGATAAAAAAAGTCTACAGCATATAATTTAATTTTTTTTGGTGTTTATTCGAATGTTATATTTCAAATTATCACGTGACTTATGAACATATTTCAATACAGATAAATAAACTCATGAGGTCATAAACTAACATTGACCTTTCCAATGGAACGAAAACGTGATCTGTGTACCTCTACGATAAAAGATCTAGACATCTATATTCGAAATGTGCACTAAGAATAGAAATGGCAGTAATAGGACGCAAAAAGCTTCATTATCGATTTATTTCTACTTCCGACCTTATTTTTTTCTAGCCATAAAAAAGATTTGATCATCATTTATTTCCTTTTTTATGAGTAAGATTTGATTTATGTAGATTTTTTCGTATCATATTTTTGCTGAAAATTTCATTGATATAAAAAATCGTAATCCTAAAGTGTAATTGCTAACAATTCATCGATTTCAAATGCCAGCTTTTGAATTCACTCGTTACGACGCTGAATAGAAAATATTCATATTTATAATTCATGAATATTTATTGAGTGAAATTGTACATTGTCAATGAATATTTAACAAAACATTTAACTGAAATAATTGTAATCATCAACATAAAATTCTCTATTGTTATTTTATTTTTTAGGAATGTCAACCGGAATTTCTACACGACTTGGTACTTAAAATGAAGGCGTACATTTTTACGCCAGGAGATTCCATATGTCGTAAAGGAGAAGTCGCAAGAGAAATGTTCATCATTGCTGATGGTATATTAGAAGTAATCAGTGAAACAGGACGAGTGTTAACAACTATGAAAGCTGGTGATTTCTTCGGTGAAATTGGTATCCTCAACCTGGACGGATTGAACAAGTAAATTTTTTAATTAATTTTTAAATCACAACTTTAGAAAGCTCATTGAGCAGTTCAAAATATCACTGTATCATAAACCCTTTGACTTATGTATGATAAATTTGCTATGTCATTCATACAGTTAACGACAAAAACATATTACTCAGAACGAAAGTTTATACTAACAACGTGATTGAACCATATTAAATTTAATATAATTTTTACTGAATTTTAAAGATTTGCTAAACAATCGTGAGTATTTCCAATAATGTAATAAATTTTTCAGGCGAACAGCAGACGTAAGATCAGTTGGATACTCCGAACTTTTTAGTCTATCACGAGAAGATGTTCTGGCAGCAATGAAAGACTATCCAGATGCTCAAGAAATACTTCAAAATCTCGGCAGAAAGCGTTTAATGGAGGCACAAAGAGTGGCTAGAAGTCTGAGAGTTCCACCATCACCAGGTCATGATTCTTCGGATAATAGTACGGGTAAACGCATAGTGGATAAATTGAAAAGTGACGTAAAAGGATTGAAAAATGTATTACGTAAGAGTCGTCGTTGCACAAGACCAGATGAGTCAATGGAATTACAACCATTGGCTCCAAAAATACCACCACTAAAGCGACAAAATAAAATTGACGAAGATCGAATAGAAGAAACAATAGCATCAGTGGAAACACCGACATCACCCTTAGGTGCTGGTTTGCCACTTTTATCCCGTTTGAGGTTGCTAAAAGAGAAGCAAGATCGAGAAGAAAAGAGGCACTTGATGGATACTCATCCACATATGAGTGAGCAAATACCACAGCCTCAAACTCCAGTACAAAAGGTTTTTGATGAATCTCAGAATCCAATGAATCCTAATTTACCACTGCTCCAGAGAATTTTGTTGCTAAAAAACAAGACTGAAGATCCAATTCCCGATAAAGATGGAACAACAACTAAAGAGCAAAAAAAAATTATTACTGATCAACAACCTCAATTAAGTCCAAAAGTGTGTGAAAAACCAGCGGAAATGTCTCCTCCTTTGCCAATAGAAAGTGAAAATTCTTCTGGAACAAAAAGACCTTGGGAGATGTTGAAAGATGCGTCAATAACAACCAAAGAATTATGTTCATCACCACAAAATACTCCAATAAAAAAACCTAAACAAAATTTGGATTATATGAAGCAAACGAAAAAGTACTCATCAATTGATGACTTGTCACCCGAGTACGGTGGTCTTCCCTTTGTTAAAAAACTAAAGATACTCAATGAGAGGCAAAAACTTGCTGAGTTGGAAAAGGTCGTAAGAAGTTCTAGTCTCGATTGCGGCGAAGTGAATGCTGACTCAGAATTCGATGGTAATCTTACTAGAAGCCATTCAGAAGCATGTGCTATTGAGTATGCCAGAAAGTTAGCCAAGTTTAATAAAGTAAGTATATCATTATTTTATTTAAAATAATATTTAATAATAATAGAGATTGATCTCTAAAGATTTTCCAACCAGAATAATAACAGAAAAGTACTTAGATAAAGATAATTGGGTTGAAATAGAAATAAGGTTTGAATTATTTTCAGGAATATCGATCATCAAGTTCACCATCAGATCCTCTTTCCCCAGAGAATGAAACTTTAGAGAGACAAAACTTGAAAAGCATTCTGAAAAAATTATCCGCTGGAAGTCGTAGAGGAAGTTCAGAAACCTCAACGACAATTGCTCCTGATTCTGCAACAGTTACAGCAGAGTTAAGAAAGCTTATGCGGGCTCCAACGATTGAGGGTTATGCAGCCAGACATTCAAAATTAACTAAAAGCGTAACATTCAATTATACTTTGCAAAGTCCACCACCAGAATCAACAGCAAGTAAATTATCCGATCAAAAATCATCGGGAGTAGTTGATCCAACCTCGCTGCTACCGCCCAATAAAATTAGTTTCCGTCCTATGGGCAGCAAGGCTATTTTAGAGATGATCACGAGGCCGGGTGATGATGAATACCTCAGTGGTTTAGTCACTGGAATACGAGATGTCATTCAAAAACGACTGGTAATATTTTATTGAATTTTTAACATAATTATTATTCGTTTATAATGGAAAAATTTTTTTCTTCTTTAATCTCATAATGTTTGAATCTAAATGCTTTCAAGTTAATTGATAATAACTCGATATAAACGATTATTACTTGTGACACACCAACATATTTCATTATGATGCTTATTGCCGCTTTAATTGATAGAATGAAAATTGAATATATTTTATTTTTTGAAAAATTTAATAAAAACTAGTATTTTCCAACATTTATACTAAACTAAATATTTGCACATGACAATGATTCAATAAAATTTATCGATGTCATGATCATTTACAAAACTCCGATCACAGATATGGATAAAATTTTTTTTCCTTGTAATGAAAAAATAAGATGTCCCGAAGTGACATATCTTTTGAAAGATAAATGATGTTAACAAAGGATAACAATCAATCATCAAGCTTCAATCAAGTTGAAATCAAAATATAGTAAATCTACGATAAAAAAATTTTTTTATTGAATTACTTTGCACATATTTGTGCATTATACACTTTTAGATCCAAATTTTGAAATACTGATGTAACTATAAAGAAATCACAATTACAACTAAAATGAATAGTAATAATTATTATAATGATATCTAAATAATAGTAACTTCAAATAACACGCCGATTTGATAATTAATAAGCCAAGATTAAACGTCAACGATACTAATCATGATAAATATTTGACTTTGCTTTCATATAAAAACATTGTAATTGGATATAACACAGATCAGTTAATACATTTTGATTTGAATTCAGTAAATGGCAAAAATATTTTCTAGATGAGAAATTGAAATTTTTATCCAAAATATATATTTACTTTTCAATAAAATATGATAGAACTATTTCTCTAGTATTTTAAATTGTAAAAACGATTTTTTTTTCAAATATTTAATATCTAATTGGATAAAAAATGATTCAACGGTAAAAAAAAAATTTTATCCATTACTTTAAGACTTCAATAACTCTAATAATAAGTATAATAACGTATAAATATTAAACGTTAATAATTTCAGGAGGATCTTCAGAGCAAATTTGAACATCAGTTTGCGTCGTTAGAGCTGGAAATTCGGAAGCGTGATGACATAATAACTCAATTACAAGGCAGAATCCAAGAACTCGAGGAACGTGAACCTTGTGCTGATTCAGGGGATGATAGTACGGATTTAGACGGTTCCTTAGAGGATGATGTTGCTGATGATCCTGAAGATCATCCATTTATGCGTGATGGATCTGTGGACACCGTATTGACAGCGAGGTCGACCTGTCAAGAAACTCCAACTCATGGAGATCTTTCACGAAAACGTAAGTCTTGGGAGGAACATTCAGAACAAGAAACTCGACAACTTCAAGATCTTCCACGGTCTATTTCACCGCAAAGTGTGTGGAGGGATGAGGTGGCTATCGATTTAGAGTCAAACAGTGAAGACAGTAAATCTGATGACGATGACGATGTAATTGAGGGGAGAAGTGCCGAAAATTATCGAGATGGATCTGGGCATAATAACTGGGAAGTTGCGATGCTTGCCCAACAGTTAGAAGCTAGAAGACAAAGTCATGAAAACTCTAGTCCTGATTCCTAGCGCATTAATGAAATTATAGAAATTTTTAATTACTGTAAAGATACTATAACTAGTCCAGGGAAAGAACAAATAAAATCAAAACAATTAACATCACTTCCTGGACTTTCACCATTCAATGGTTGCAGTGAAACCTTTATATGAGACTTAGGTTTTAATTTTGATGAGTATAAAAGAATTTATGCACAATTGCTATTAGATTAATAAACAAATCGTTAATTATGAATTATCGAAAAATGACATTTATTCTTTTGATTATTTATAAAAGTTTTGAATGAATGATTCAAATTTAAAGTCACGATTGTATTTCATTTCGACTGTAAATACTCACTGGTGCCTGAGAGAATAAATAAAAACAATGAATAAATGATAATTAGGACGCAAGCGTGAATGTTTGTAGCTAAAACAAATGAACGTAGAATGCGATTTAGTTATGGTAAAATGAGATTATTGTGAAGATTTAGATGTAAACAATTCTGTTTTGTATTTGAATTTGAATATATTATATTGAGTGCGTTAATAATAACATCAGTATGAAGAAATAAAAAATATTGAGCTAGAGTGAAAAAAATTGATTTCCCTGTGGATTTATTATTTTTCATAGGGATTTGACCAATAAAAGCTGTATGAGACGTTGATTTTATGATAGATAAAGTAAATATTAAATATCAAAAATATAAAATATATTCATCATTTATTTTCTGTAGAGGAAATGAAGACAGACGATGAAAAAAAAAGTTGAAATATATTTATTATTTATGTGGACCAGACCAAGCTCAATATTTATAAAGTCTTTACAAAGTATGTCCATGACAAAAGTATGCATAAAAAAAATTTTATGAAGGATGTTATGGAATATGAGAGAATAATTTATTGAGTATTGTATATAATAGTTGATTTGATTGTCGATAAATTAATGACGATAAATAATAAAATTGAGAAAATTTAAAACTCACAAATGAGTGAATGCGTTATAACAAGACTCGAAAAAGCGAATATTCGTTATTTTTAATTCATAAGAATGATGTATTTAATTTTAAAGTGAGAAGATTACACAATAAAGCGAACTGTTTTCACACCTGGTCTTTCTTTATTGTATATTCAGCCTACAAATTTATTATCATCATCTTCAAAGATTATTATGGACAAAAGAAATATTGCAACTTTACTCTACGTCAATTAACTTTGACAATAATATTGAATACTTTCTAGGACTACATGGATTATAAAAATTCCCTGATAAGTTGCATATTGTGAGTAAATAAATTGTAGTCTATAAAAAGTTAGTATTGATTCATAAAAAATGCATGGTAACTGGTCGCTCCATTAAAAAATTATTATAATGATACATATCTATCTCGATTTTAGAACATTATTGTTCATAAAATATTATTCGTGCAATAGCACTTTTGTAAGAGACACGAGAAAAATACAGTTAATAATTTTTTTTTTGTTTCACACGTGCCGTGAAAATGATATGATAGTAAAAAATTATTAGAACGATGGTTTAATACAAAAGTCAATGTCAATTCTGAAGGTTCAAAAAATCGGTTTCCAGTAGCATTATTCATTCGGCTACATGTACGAATCACTAAAGCCATGAATAAGATAAAATTAATAGTTTTATTTTTTTGTTCTCTACACGGAGAAAAAATTCCAATAAAAATTACCGTGCTCAGCACAACAATCCACGCGCAAATGTCAATTCCCTAAAAAATTAAGACAACCTTCAAAGAAAAATTAGTAATCCTTTTAAAATTTTTATTATAGATTCAATATTTATTAAGAAGAGTAAAAGTAAAAATTCTTATGCAGCACGGTAATATTCGATAAATATTAATTTTTATTCAAACTTTAAACAAAAATTAGTAAGTGACTAGAAAAAAATGAGAATCTGTATATAATTTATTATGATCCGTGTGGTAGGAAAAATTCGGGTGCTCTCCTATAATTTTTTCTATTCTCGAGAGTTTCCGTGCTGGGTCGGGAATCTTCGAATTATCGGTCCAACACAATCTTTCTTTGTATTGTAAGACCGTTCACACAATCAAAAACATAAGCCGTAAAACGTACAATTTAAGACGTACGCGTGCATACTAACATCATAATAAGTTAAAAATTGGTTTGTACGCATGCGTACATCTTACGGCTTTTGTTTTTGATTGTGTGAACACCCTCAGTGCTATAGTTACTTTTTCCATATTGTAAACAAAGATGACATTCATATTTTTCGTTACGATTCAATATTGGCGGCAACACGTTATATCTTAACAATTTATGATAAGCTTAAACGGATTGACGCGGTGGACTCATGGGTAAGCGTCAGCTTGACACACGATGGGTCGCGGGTTCGAGTCCCGGCCGAGACAAAAGTCATTTATATGATTTTTCTCGGGCCACCGTGAGCGGGAGAAGAAGATCTCTTCGGAGAGCCGGGTGGTTGTATCGACGACACAGGTTTTCTGCGTAAGATCCCGATCGTAGGGATAGGGGGGGGGGCAGTATTGTAAAACGTGTGCCGTATTTCATTCCAACGAATTAATTAGTTAAGAAAGTTAATTATCAATGAACCTAATTTATTTATTTATTTGTTTATATAACCAAAAAAATTATCACTAAACTTAAATAAAATTGTTTGTCGGTTACGTAGTTATCACAGCTAACGTTACTAAATTTTCAGGTGCTGTGGAACACTAAATTTTCTGGTGCTGCCAAAGTAATTTTCAAAAAACTGAATGATACATTTTCTTATGTAACTTATAATTTTTGTATGTTGATCATTACTTTTTACTTTTCAGTAAGTTTGAACTCACATTCTTGAGCAGCACGGTAATTTTTGTATGGATTTTTAAATAAAAATTAACGGAATTTTTTCTCCGTGTACAAGTACCATGCAAATTAGATACTTCTACCAAATCATACACACAGATAATAATGCATCTCAATGACTATTATAAGTGTGACTTTATTATTTCGTTTGGTGATACCTTAACTATGAGTGATAGACCATGGAATCAGCAAGGTATTTTCGCAAAACATAATGTGAGATTAAAAAACTTGGAAAAGTTCAAAAAGGCAGAAAAACCTCTCGTAGTTTTCTTTTCAGACCGGATAAAATTTCAGGTATAGATGCAATGTATTTTCATGATTTATTATTGCAAAAGATTTGTACTGATACATAAATATTTATAAAATCAGTTAATTGCATCAGCAGTAGATGCATCAAAACCAGTATTTTGTTTCTTCATGAACGTGAACGTAAAAGTGGAAGATTTCTTCAGTAACATATATTTTCCATATCAATATAAGTTTATAGTTTCTCAAAGGAATGAAACGGATCCGAGTCAAGAAATAATATGGAAGGTCAAGTTAGATAATAAGAAAAATCAAATCGTCAAATTACTTTTTGCAACATGGAGCGAAGAAACTGGAATTCAATCCTATGCGAAAGAGTTCCAACCAGGCTACATTTTGCGAGCTGGAATATTCGATGTACGTTATAGTGCTTACTGTACCAATTGGTAAAGTAAGCTCTCCGTAAGAATACGGCAAAAAAAATTCATTTATATAGCAAAAAATTGATATAAACCATTTTTTCTCTTTCTTCGATAGAATCCTCCACTTTCGAATGTCGAAAAAATCGAAAATAAATTCAAAGTATCTGGATTTTTGGGTAAAATTGCAGAGGAATTACAAGGCGATATGAATTTCAAGTATATTACAATGATTTATAAAATATTAAGAACACTTTAACTAACAAAGTATTTTTAGGTTCACCTATAAGCTCGTTCACGAAGTTGGAGTGAAAGAAAATGGAACATGGAGTGGTGGCATGGGTTTATTAAAAAATAATTCCATCGACATTTTGTTCACTCCGCTCTTCATATCTCTCGAAAGAAGCGAAGACTTCGATTTTTCGCTCCCTTTATTGGAATCGGAGTATGTTAGATAAATATCACTGTTTTTAAAACTTCTGAAGTTGAATTCTAATCGAGTGATGTAGACTAATTACAAACAATACTTCTTCAAAATGATAGTAATGACTTATTTAATCATCATATTTTAGCCTTGCCATGTTTATAAAGAAAACTGATAACGCATTTAGTTGGTCTAGCTATTTTGAACCTTTCAACACCACTGTATGGTATATCATAATATTGACTATAATTATTGAGAGTATTGCACTAATTGTTTTCGAATATTACAAAAAAATAGATGTCGTTCGAAGATTGAGAAGGAAACTAACAAAAATATCAATACAATATGCATACTCGTTTTTGAGGGTTTATGGAGCTATGTGTGGTCAAAGTAAGTTTTTCCATAAGCATAGAAATAAAAAATGACTCAAAAATTTGAAATAACTATTTATAGGTTTGTCGGCATCAAATTTTAATCCTTTAAGAATACTTCAGTTGACAATTCATGTTACTGCTCTACTCATTCTAATATTTTATTCAGCTGTATTTTTAAGCATCATAACAGCACCTCAATTTAAACCTCCAATTACAAGCTTCAAAGATCTGATTGAAGATAACCGCTACAAAGTAGGTTGCATAAGAGGACAACCATGGAATATTTTTAAGGTGCAAATCATTCTTATTCATAAAGGCTTTTTAAATTTTTAGATTGATTAACGATAAAAGTATAATAATTTCAGAACAGTGAAGATGAAGTTATGCGAAAAATTTTTCACAAACATATAAAAACACAAAACCCTATACCGATTTCTCTAAGCGAGGGACATGAACGTATGTGCAAGGACGGAAAATATGCATTTATAACATTTGATAATTTGGCATATTCGTATTTATCATCAGGCTGTATACTACTTTTGGTTGAAAAATTATCAGAATCACAACTAGGCATTGCATTTCAACATAATAGTCCATATATTAAAGCTTTTAATAACCAGTAAGTATGCAAACAGTGTAAAAGTTCATTATTAAAAATAAATTATGACTCCACTGATTACTGATTTTCATTCTACAGTTTGTTAAAAATGGTTGAAAATGGATTACTGAAAAAAATTGAACATAAATATTTACCATCGTCCCTAGAGGTATTTAAAATATTAAATATTAAGCAATAGACATTGCTCTGATTAATCTTTATTAAAATTCTATATAACGTAGTTTTAGTTACGTTAATATACCTACACGAATTTTATTTAATAAACTTTAATGATTTATATTTCGTATGATTTGTTACAGATCACAGATTCATGGGTACCAATAACTGAACTCGCAATATTATCGGTTATACTTATTCTTCTGAGCTTTATGTCATTTAGTGTTATTTTATTACTTTGTGAAATATTTATTTATCGAATATCAAATCAGCAATGGTTTAGATCTTTTTTAAATGAGGATAAAGTGGAATGCGGAAGCAAAGCAAAACGCTTGAGAAAATTTCTCAATTTATTGAAATAAGCTTAGAAATGTTTATTGTGCATTTTGTTTATCAATTTTTCTAAAGTAAAATTTATCCTAAAAGATTGTTAAACTTTTTCTTCTGCTTCGTGAAAATTTTAAAATTACAAAGATAATCAATCAAATGTATTTATTTAATGATCATTATATGTTGGTTAAGCGTAGAAATATTTATGCATACGAAAATCACTAAGAAAATGAATTAATTTTCTGATATATTAAATTATCACATCATGACTGGCACTGAAAATATTAAACAACATCAACCGATAAAATAGGAGATAATTTATATCAATATAATCTAGTGTAAAAAAAGCAAATAATGGAAAAGCTTATCCATTACAATTGCTTCTATTTGATTGTAGATATAGAGAAAAATTAATGATGTAGACAAGCTAATCAATAACTAGTGCAATAGATATGAGAAGATGGATGATAATTTTTTTTCAAAGCCAAGGTCGAAAAAAATATTCTTTTTTTCAACATACTGTATTTAAATATATTGCATTCAATGAAGTGATTAATCTTTCAAAATAATCAATAACAAGTAAGTTCAGTAAAGTTTTCAATCAATTTTCTCCCCTTAGAGATCAATAATATTCAGTTGAACAACTTGCGAGCAATTAAAGCGATTACACTAATTATTTCATTAGTGCTCAAAGATTCAAGATATATTGACAGACTGTTTAATCGATTCCAGCTGTTAAGTAATCAATCAATACGTTTTGAAATTATTCAAAAAATGATATAGTAATAGAATAAAAAAATTAAAAAAAATAAAATTAATAGATGTGTATTTTTTTCAAATAATACTAAGTCTTTCAATTGTGCTGTTAATTCTTAAATAATTCTGACAGTAAAAAAGTACTTCAAAAAAATATTCTCTGCAGTAATGATTATTTGATTAATATGCACTTTCTTTCATCACAACATAATATTTAATTTAAAACTTACTACTCTCAAGTAAATGTATTGAAATTAATTAACAATTTTATTCTTTCACAATAGACCTTCAATTCTCAACCTATTGTTTAGCATTAAAAATTGTCATCAAATGTCTTCTTAACCATTCCCTCACCAAGCAGAATATCAGAACATGTTAATCAGCATTTTTTATTACCATTATATTCTTACAATTGTCATGAATTATTAGGTCACAATAATTGCAATAAGTCGTTGTCAATGTCATGACAGTTTTACTTTTAGTTTGTTAAAAAGAAGACCAAGTTTTAAAATGATAATCAAACATCAATTCTTTAATGAATGATTCAAGACAACTAACTATTAAAGTGATAATAATGACAGTAATATGCAAAAATTGGTGACTGTGATTACTTTTATATTTGCTTTGTGCTACAGCCAATCTCCTTGTCCAAGTTTTTTTAGATACATGGTGCATGAGAAAACGAAAGAGATTTATGGAAAAATCGAAATTCCATTCCCTCCTAAAAATATTGTGCTTCATCTTCGTGTCAGTCTAAGTGTTGCCACAGCTCTACCAACGGTAAGAAGAAAAATGCAATAAGTAGAAAAAATGTTATATTGAAAAAAATGTTTTTAATTAAAATAAATATCAACTTAATCTAGAGATACGTAGGAAAAATTGAACTGGCAAGATCGAAACAAGAGTCAATAAAAGCTGTTAATCAAAACAAACCTTTAATTTATAACGTATTTTTTCCAGTCGCTAGACCAATTCCTTTGCTAACAGAAATTATGTTTAATCAACATCAATACTGCATTGGACCTCATGGTAATCAAAAATAACAATTAAATATTCTTAATTTTTCTTCCATTTTTAAAATAAATATCAGTTATTGATTATAGTATTTTATTTTAGCACTTGGTCCGGCAGTAACAAATATTTTCTTGGAACATTTCTTACATCCTCCAAAAATAAATAGATCAAAAAATACTCCACCAATACATTATGGAAGAAAAGAATTATGTGTTGAAGAAAATAAAATATTTAATATCAATCGTTTTATGAATTCAACTACTCATATAGATAATATGATTAACACAACTACATCTGAAATCTCCACATTAGAATTAAATTCAAACGTTGGTCAAATTTGTGGACAGCCAGCTAGTTACTATAACTCCTATCAACTTCCAGAAAATGGTAGAGCTTTACCAGGACAATGGCCTTGGTTAGCAGCTATTTTTCTTGTAGAACTTGAATTTCGATTTCAATGTGTTGGTAATCTTATCACAGACAGACATATCCTCACAGGTAAAAAGTTTAATTCTTATTTCAAATATAAAGTGGATCTTTTTAATACACTTTATTATGTCTATCCATTCAAGTTTTATTCCATAAAATTTAAGCACCTGTTGAGCTTTAGAACTTTTGTGATTCTTAAAGAAAAATCTTCAATGATAAACCTTTGGCTAAATGAAAGATTTTTTTTTAAAAAAAAGATCTCTATATTCCGAAAGCATTGAATGAAAATCTGCACAATTCTTTTTCATTCTGATTATAGGAAAAGAATTATTATTTCTATTGAATATTATTGATATTAAATATCAGAGAACTAGTAAAGAAATGACTTCTTCGAAACCTAATTTATTTTTCAATACATGTATCAATATTTAGTAAAATTCAATCAATAAATTTCTTATGTATACAATTCATTTCAATTTCAGCTGCCCATTGTAAAAAATCTAATAATCGAGAATTGCATGCTAATCATTTTATAGCATCTTTAGGACGTTATTGTTTAGATGATTGGAAAGAAAAGTCATCAAAAAATTTAGAAATAGAAGAATTTTTACTCCATCCTGAGTACGAGAATCGAGGAAATGCTCATGCTGATCTAGCCTTGATATTTTTGAAAAATAAAGTACATTTCACTCAAACTATTAAACCAGTATGTTTGTGGACAGGTTCAAGTGACTTAAATAAAATCATAGGCACAATGGGATATGTCATTGGTTGGGGTCATGAGAATAATAAGCAGAACACACGAGAGTTAAGAATGACTAAAGTTCCAATCATTTCTCAAGTAAATTTTCTTAATTTGTCTGTACAAATAAATCGATCAATCTAATTGACATTGCATAAAACAAAAAGATAACAAAAATTAAAAATAAATTTTTCCAGGAAGCATGTTTGAGAAGTAACATTGGCTTCTTCTATTCTACTTCCAGCAAAACATTCTGTGCTGGTAATAAAGATGGCCAAGGACCTTGTGATGGAGATAGTGGTGGAGGTTTAGTTATTTGGAATAATACAACAAAAAGATATCATTTAAGAGGAATAGTTTCTTTGTCTTTACTTGACAACAATAGTTCGTTATGTGATTTATCAGAATATATAGTATACGTAGATGTAGCAAAATTTTTAGATTGGATTAAAAATGAAATAAATAATCATTAAACGCAATTATTCATGTTAATTATTACCTCAAGCTAAGGCATGCAAATAGTAATTGTGCACTTACTTGAGAATAAAAATTTTCCTGTGAGATAAATTTATCAAAACTTGAAATAAACACACTTGAAGCACTATCACTGTCAAAAGAAACAATAAAACACTTTTAATGAACGATTTATACATAATTGTGTTACAAACTGTATTCTAAACTAAACATTTACATTTTTGAGATAAATAATATAAAAAAAAAACATTTAAAATCACTTTTTCCCCGAAAATGCCGGCAAAATATTGGAGCGGTAGACGCACGCATGTAAACAGGCGGGAACGGAGCACAAAACTATACAAGAGACTCACACTACACACACATACACTTTACAGGTACATCAGCGTTAGTCGATAACGTATTTATTTTAATTTATTTATATTCATTAATACTACTTTAAAAGTTTTATTATTTATGAAAATAATATAAAAAGAGCTTCGATATCTTAAAATATAATTTTATTGTATGTCGTCATGACTTAGATACAATAATTTCATGTAAACTTCAAAAGAAAAACATCTGTAAGTAAAGTAGAAATGGTAAACAGTTGAAGCGCTAAATGCGTATTACGTATGACGCATGCGCACTGAAAATTCGGCTGAGTCTCAAATGGAAGCATCACAAAATGATTACAGAAGAAAGTTATTGCTTTTCAATAAATAAATGCTGCTCAATAACCTTAAATTATAATTCAATTATTTGTAACTAATTAAATATCTTATCTTTATAATTAAATAATTGAATAGATGTTCTAATGTACTTAAAAATCTCTTGGCGTCTGTTTGCATTCTAGTCATTATTTACGTCATTATTTCATGATAAAAATTCTAATTATAAATGATAAAATGTATAATTTTTATATAACTGTTAAATGTTATGTTTTATTGAGGATCGTTTATTATTCATGTGAAAGTGGTGCATTTTTTTCGAAATTTTTTTTTTCAAAAATTAAAAAATTTATGATTAGTATATTGGAAAAACTTTATTTTTTTATAGGTTGTATTATTTTTAACAAATATTATTTAATTGATTATTTATCGTGAATGAAGTTAAGTGAGTGTAGTACATGTTGGTTATTAAAGTGATTGTGCTATAGGAAATACGAATTTCTTATTATCACAACATGTTGGTAAATATTAGAGCTTTTCTCACTTTCTATTGCAACCGAAAATAAAATTTAAATAATTATTATTAATCTTTTTCTCAAAATTCTAATTCTGTTTGGTTTTGTTTTAGGAATAACATCTGATCAAGAATACAGTAATAATGTAATAGCAGGTTGGTAAGTACAATGATATTTTTCTATTTTTAATAATATTCTTCAAAAGGACTACAGCTACTATGCTTATTCAACAATAATCTCAGCATCAACCATTGATGTAAATAAAACATGTGAACATTCCTTATCACGACTCATAAATGTCAACTATGATCAGGCGTATCGAAAGTCCAATTAAAACTTTCTTTCAAGTCCAAATATATTGATTGTTGTATGAAGAGGGAAGTTGATAACAAAGTATTCTTTGATGAATTTTTGTCCTTGACGCATAATAGTTTGCTGAGTTTTGAGAGACTGAAAGAAATGCAGTTGAAACTAGAGTAGGTTTAAAAATGATTTATTCTTGGATTGTTGTTAGTATCTTCTTCTTTTTGACTTTGGGTCCAGGTTCAGCTGAAGAAACATCTGATCATCCGATGTAAGATTTTCTTTCACTTCGTTTTTAATAATAAAATTAGCTGTGTAAATCATTTTTCAAGTTTAATTTGTTTAAATTGAAAACAAAGTGATATCTTCATATAATATTGGTTTTTGTTGGTCTATTATAATTATATGTCACTTTGTAAAAGGTAATATAATTATAGAAATTAGTAAATATAGTTCTCGATTTTCTAGAAGCACGAAAGAAGCTCTTCATACAGTTGGAAAATATTTAAAAGAAGATGGAGGAACAGTTTGGCTTAGCAGTCTTACTGCTAAACGTTTAGCTCCATTGACGACAGATCAACTTATGGTTGAAATTTTAAATTCTACTGATGCCAATGAAGAAGTCAAAGCAGCTGCGAGTGTTATTAAAACAGCACTTGATGAACAAAAAATTGCTGGATCAAACAGTACAGGAATTTTCGAGCTTGAAGGGTGGAAAGATCTAGTTGATAATGTAGAAGATCAAGATGATATAATATGTTTATATCGAAAAAGTTTAAACGTGTCATTTGAACGTACTGAAGATTGGCAAAAATTTCTGAAGAGTATGTCTGCAGGATACACAGTGTATTTAGCTTTAGACATGGGTCAAAAGTATGTGATTTGTTTGAAAAAAATCCAAATATCGGAACAAAATTCATCATTCACTGGTGCTAGAGCCTTAAATTCGACTGAATTAAAATCTAAAATAGAAGATTCTACTTCGGAAATTCTTTCAAAAGGGAGTAGGTCATTAAATGAAAAATCAGATTCTACAGAGGAAAGTGAAGAGGAAGAAAAATGCGACCACAAGAAGAAACCTGATGATATGAATATGAGAAGACAGTTCTCGTCAATGAGACCAGCTCCTCAAGAATCTCCTTGTAGTAAACCAATCATCTACATGTTACCATATGGATTCTACAACTGGCCACCTTCAGGAAATTATCCTACTCCTTCAATGGAAAGTCCCGCTATGATACCATCTAGTTCTCTAAACTCGGGTTCTTATCCACAAATAATATATCCTAGTAATCAAGCATCTGGACTACCAAACGTTGGATATCCAATAACAAAATCAGCGCCTTTGCCTCCTGGACCTCCAAGAATGGATTATTTATTCAGATCTGACAAATCAGTACCGAGATTGCCTATTTCTAGTTTTCCTGGGATAAAATCAGCACCTTTCACACCTAGACCACCAATTTCAAACTTTCCTATTATGAGATCTGCTACTGCACCACCTAGACAGAAAATACCTACCTCATATCAAGATGTGATATCTAGAAAACAACTTCCAGGCTATGAGATGCAGCGATTACGACAATATCCTAATCGTGAATCTCCAAGTTCAAATATTCCACAAGCTCCAATTTCAACTCGAGGATATACTCAACCTCCAAGACGCTTTTTCCCACCTCCAACTCAATCTCGAAAATTTGTCCAACCAATCTTTCAACAAGGATTTCCCCGTGGACCAGTTAATATTCCCTCTATCAATCCACGTGCATCATTGAGAAACGCTTTACCTTCAGTAAATGATTTTCAACCTTCTAACTATGGACAGTACACCAACGTTTATCCTATTTCTCCGACTTCTTCTGATCAATATTCAAATGTAGGTTGTAAAAATTATCATCCTTGTGTTTTCCCTTGTGATAAACCACTTCTGGTTAGAGTCCAGCTCGAACCTTCACAATATCTGTTGAAAGAATTATCCAATATTGGTTATATTCCCCAAAGTGGTCCGACTATTCCAACTATTCCGTGGAGACGAAACATGGATTCAGAATCTAATATTGGAGTACGAAAAGGAGAAGATAAGGATAATAGAGGTGTACAATTAGATAAAAATTTAGAGAAAGAAGAGAATACAAGTGATAGTCTTGAAAGGTCTGAATCCTCATCAAGTGAAATAGGAGTTTCTGTGGCACCATGAAGGGATAAATTAAAAAATTATAAGATACAAGTTTTGATTTTAAAACGCCTAATAAAATATTTGTTTTTAACTAAAATATTCTGTTTGACAAAATAATCATTAAATTTCATATTTATCATAACAAAAAACTGAAGACTATTACTCAAAAATTATTTATGCATATTATTGTCCCTTTATATTAAAAGTAATTGAAATATATTTCATTTATTTATCCAATTATAAAATAATTCTGAAAAAAGTTTCTTTTCTCTGTTAATCATATAATCAGATTCAGAAATTAAGTGCTCACAGATTTGCTGAATCAATTTGAAAGTTTTGACGACAAATTGCTCCCAAAACTACTTCTGCACTGTACACATCTGAAAAAATTACATCACCAATAATTTTTTTAATCGAGATCGTCCAATATTATATTTTAAATTATTATCTTACTTATATTAGCACGTAAAACATCAGCAAGTAGGTGAACATCTTTCTCTTGTGTAATAATAATGTAGTTCAACTTTCCAGAATTATTCATTTCTTGAATTTGTGATAATGATCTTCGAGTTTTTTCCATTACTCCTCCAGCACTTTCAATTATCTCTGCGAAGGCTGAAGGTGATGGCACGACGCTCGGCGTCACATAAAATGTTTTTCCCTAAAAAAAAATATTAAACTTTAAAAGTGAATTTTCATGACATTCAAAGTGATATAATTTTACAAAATTCAATTAAAAATTAAATCAAAAAATTAATAATTTTACTTATTCATTAATAATTGAAATTTCATCATAGATTGTTATAATAATTTCAAATTAAACTAATTAATCATTGATCGAAAATAATACTTTTAAACGTAATATTAATGACTTCAAAGTCTTCCTTAATAATCTCAGATATAATTTTAATTGGTAAACTTCATTATAGTTTAAAGTTAGTTCACAACCGAAGCCAATGAAATTTCAAAGATTAAAATTTAACTCTATTACACATAATATTCAAGTATATTAATAACTTTTTATTTATTTTATTATTGATAAAATTCATACCTTAAGTACGGATCCACGATTGGGACTCGTAAGAGCTTTTTCAATATTGCAATTAAAATTTTTTTCAAACTCTGTATCACCAAGAGTATAAGAACTTTCATCAAGAAAAGTGTTTTTTGCAAAACAATCCATTAACCATTGTATATTAACAATATATTTGCATCGTGAAAGACAACAGAGAAATTTCACTGTTCGATAAGGTGCTGGCATCACTAAATGAGTTGCATCTCTCCAATTAGCTGCAAGTGCACCTCCCAATTCACGAATTCTTTTCGCATGTTTTCGTGGATTTGTTCCAGAAAATAAAATCTTAGGTTGCTTTTCCGGTGACGGTGGGTCTGGATTGCTGATTACAATCGGTTCATCTAAACCTAATAATTGTGGATCCTTATTTAAAAGTGGTCCTTCTAATCTAGGTTTTTTATGTCTTCTCATTGCATTAGGTCCTTGACCAACTTGTTTAACTTTATCATAAGATTCTTGTGTGATATTTATCGGCATTTTCCAAGCCGCCATTAAATGCGGAATTATAGAATAATCCAACCTAAATGGATTACTTAAACTAAATTGTTGATACTTCGGAGTATCGATTTGATGCAATGCATTCAATTGTCCACATAATATATCTGTGATCCATTGAGCATTTACTACTGGAATTTGCCATTCTTTAGCTTTTTTGTACTTAGGTCCTTCCGGTTTTCGACATATTAATATAGTATTATGTCTAGAAAAATATGTAGTATATTTCACACCTATTGCATCAAACATGGCTTTTATTTTCGTTCTTTCTTCTCCTTCAAATCCAGAAAAAGAAATATTATGATTGGGACATGGTTTTTCTGTGACATCAAAAGGAATTGGAAAATGTAGTGCATGCCACGGTGGCAAAACTTGTTGCTTACTAACGATATCTGACAACCAATGTGCATTGACACATCTTTTTCCATCTCGAAGAGCTTGAACTACTACTGGATGTTTTTGAGTTATAGCAAGTACATGAGTAGCACGAGAGCAGTATTGAGGTTCTACTTCACCACCATGACGTTCAATTACTTGTTTCCAATTAGCAACTTCCGCTTGAGAATAGTGCGCTTCGTATTCGACTATCACAAAGATGCAACCTAACAGACATAAATCTGGTGGAAGCTTGAGATTTGGATTATGTCCATAGAATTGGGCTTTTGATTGTGTCATTGCTTGTTGATATTGCATCTTTATGGACCCTGGCGGTGCTCCATTTGTAATATTACCTAAAGTACGCCTTTGATAAGCAGCAAGAAGGGCTGGATCTTGAGGTGGTGGTGGTGGAGCTCGATGTTGCGCTGTCATCAGTCTTAACTGACCTGCTGCACTACCTTCAGCTGCTCCACCTTGAAGACGATTAGTTAACATATTAGCTAAAGCTGTTTTGGTTTTAGCGTTAACAACTAATTGTTGATCTGGAGGCATTTGAGAGTTGACTGATAATGGTGTTAAAGGTGTCATGGCTGGTTCTGGAATAGGTGGCTGTTGTTGTTGTTGCTGCTGTTGTTGTTGAAGATGTAACTGCTGAAGACGAGCCATTTGCTGTTGTTTTTGCATATGTAACTGTGCTAATTGTTGATGAGTTAGTTGACCTTGTTGATAAGTTTGTCCTGGCTGTCCTGGAGGTGCTTGAACGGCTCCAGTGGCTGATTGTACAATTACTTGATTTGGAGAATTAATAGGAGTTAGAGCAGGAGGCTGAACACCAGGTAGCATAGGTTTTTGCGCTGCTGCTGGTGGTGTTTGACTCATTATTTGTGGGCGTTGTTGAACCCATTGTAAGCCAGCTTGTCCCGGACTTCCAGGTGCTCTTATAACTGCAGCATGTGGACCTTGCTGAGCCTGTCTATTTTGTAACTGACGTTGGAGTAAGAAATTTCGAGACTTTTGTATTTTTTGTATAACTTGTGCACGTTGCTGAGGATCCATTTGTTGTAGTTGTTGATGAGTTTGAGCATCAAGATGAATTAATTGTCTCACAGGCTGTGGAGGTTGCTGTACCCATTGACCCGCAGGTCTCTGTGGACCTAATTGTTGCTGCTGTTGCTGTCTTTGGAGTTGTAGATGATACTGTTGTTGTTGCCAGGCTTCTCTATTTACAATAAAACTTTGTTGATTTTGATTCATTACTTGATTTGGAGTTTGCTGTTGAATTTGACCTTCTCTAACGATGAATTGCTGAGATGGCTGAGGAGCTGATTGCTGTAATTGTTGAGATATTTGTTGAATTTTTTGTTGCTGCTGTTGTTGAATAAGTAATAACTGTTGACGTTGCTCGGGGGTTAATTGTTGTTGATTCATTTGTTGTTGAATAGGTTGTTGCATTTGTTGTTGAGCCATTTGCTGCTGTTGCATTTGCTGTTGAGGAATTTGAGACTGAGGAATCTGCGGTTGTGGAATCTGTTGCTGTGGAATCTGTTGCTGTGGAATCGGTTGTTGTGGAATCGGTTGTTGTGGAATCGGTTGTTGTGAAATCTGTTGCTGTGGTATGGGTGGTTGTGGAATTTGTTGCTGAGGAATCTGTTGTTGAGACATTTGCTGTTGAGCAATCTGTTGTTGAATTTGTGTTTGATTTACCATTTGTTGAGTTATTTGTTGTTGAATAATTGGTTGTTGATGTGGTCCCATTTGTTGCATTTGTTGATTTATTTGATTTCCTTGAATAATTTGTTGTCCTAAATTCTGATTCTGTTGCTGTGGAAGTTGCATCTGATGTGGGCTAATTTGTTTTTGTTGCGGAGACATTATTTGTGGATGCTGAGGAGACATCATCTGTTGCTGAGGTGACATCGGAATGTTTGGTTGCTGTTGTGGCATCATTGCTTGTTGATTCATTTGAGGATGTTGTTGGCTTATTGTTGGAGCTGGCGATGCTAATTGTGGAGATGATTGTGGACCAATCATTTGCTGTGTAAATGTAGTTTGCAGTTGGTTTATTTGTTGAGGCATGTGTTGTTGTTGTTGCTGCTGCTGTTGCTGTTGAATATGTTGTTGCTGTAATTGCTGTTGAACCATTTGCTGCTGCATCATGCCCTGCGGGATCTGTTCGGTTTGCTGTATTGGTTTCATAGGAGCTATCGTATTTATAGCTGGAGATTGCCAATTATTTTGATTCATATTATTTGGTGCTGGAGAAGGGGAAGAACTATATGCTGGTAAGCTTGAAGGTACAGCAAATCGTTGATACATTTGATTATGTTGTGATTGTTGGGGCTGCTGTTGCTGCTGCTGTGGTTGTTGTTGCGGAAGTTGTTGCTGCTGTGATTGTTGTTGATGATGCGGAGATTGAGATGGTGACGGTGCTTGTATCTGAGGAACTTGCGACAATTGAGATGTAGCAACATTTTGCATTGATGTCATCACCACTGGACTAGGTGACGAAGTATAAACTGTGGAAGTATTTGCGACAGTATTTGGTTGATTCCATGGCATTCTTTGCTTTAATTGCTCCAACATCATTTTTGTATGATCTCGCTCTTCTTGAGAAATATTTGGTTCTGGATCGTCTTCAGCGAATCCTGTTATCATTGCTGTAGAACTATTTGGAGGTGGATAAACCAGTAAACGGGGATGATATTCAGTTTCATCTATTAAAGTACGTTCCTTACAGCATTCTGTCACCCAATCAGGAGTAACAATTTTGATATGATGACGAATTGCTGCGTCGTATTTTGCTCCACTAGCTTTTCCTACTATCAAATGTGTACAATAACGATCTAATCTTAGTTGACATTTTCCGCCTTGAAGAGCTATCATGCCCCAAAGTGATTTATGGTCAATTTGACTAACTTGTGATACACAAGCGCGTACGGAAGAAAACAACTGATTTTCTTCAGCAGAAAAATATTTTGTTAATAACAACTTTTTACTCTTTACTGATTCCAACACCCATTTCTGAGTCACCGCCGGAATTTCATATAAATCTTTTGCTTCTGATATATCACTTTCTGACGCTTCATGACCGGCTATCAGATGTGTAACCAAAGCACTAAAGTAATTAGATCGTTCTGCTCCACCTCTATCCAATAATGACAATACCTATGATAATAGAAATAAATTAGCAATACGTATAGGAAAATAATGATTGAAAACAATATCTTACTTTGGGATCAGCTTTTCCACTGACGTAAAATTTAACATCGGCAAAGAGCGCGACGTCAAGCTTAAGTTCATCTAATCCTGCACGAATATCTCCCATTTTTATGGTACAAATATTCTACGATTGATACTTTCCTTGAACATGATATTATAGCGGTGATTTCGACAAACTTTGAACAGTACAAGACTAGGGACAAGTTTAATAACACGAAAAGTACCGCGTCGTTTTTGTTGTGATTTTGATCTAAAATGTGAGGTTATGCCGTCAAATTCAGAATATAGTGTCTACAGAATAATAATAAAGTTCGATGCATCGATTGTTGACCATTGATATTACTTAGTCGGTAACGTATCTATAAGAATCTTCTTTACCTACAATAGTAACAAAAAGTTAGAAAATTTTCCTTATCAACGTCAGTCAATGGAAAATAGATTTTTTTAAATATCTGAATAGTTTTAAATGCTTTGCAATTCTAGTTGTGCCATCCTCCTATATTAACATCTTATCACAAAAATAAAATGAATATGAAGTTAGTTGATCGTCAGTACATAACAAATCAAAGAAAAAGTATCAAATCCTATCATTCATGAATTTTTTTTAAGAATTTTTCATTTTTGCTCGATTTCAAGTAATTTTAAAGTGAATAAAAAAGTTGAGATGGTTTTAAGTTCTTTCAAAACAAAGTTATTTCTAAGATAATCGAATGGATGTCCAAGACTCCTTAGGGTATATCAAAATGTCCACTGAAGTGAAAATTCATCAAGACTCCGAGACATCCTATGTTGGTCCCCAAGATGTTGTTTATCAAGTTCTTAACTCGGTTTTCCTCGCAGTTGTTAGAACTTTAGAAAGTTTCCGTCTCTACTTATATATAAACTGCTAAGTAGAACAGTAAAGAGACTACTGGAGAAGATATTAGACTATACATGTACTCTAATGACAAGTAAGAGCATTTTGGCGTTTCTCGATGATGAAGAGAAATCATTGATAGATGAACTGTCTGCAGCAGAATGTAATTCCATTTTACCCTTTATCCGTCATTCAATTGACATACCGAGATGCCTATGAGATTAATATCGTCATTCCAAGTGAGTTAATCGTCAAAGCATCGAAATTATGGTTCGTATCTAAGCATAAATTGATCTAGAAAGTTCGGCAGATTGATAGTACAAAGGAAGTCGTAACATTCTGCTATCATAAAATTTCATTAGACTATTCTATCAAATAATAGCTTTGTTAAATTTAGCCAAAACATTCAATAAAATTCTGACTGATTAAAAAAATTCCATACATTTTACATTAATGTTTAATTATTATTATTAGCAATAAAAAATTTTTTCTTTGAAATTTAGATAATTTAAGAATTAATTATTTTATTGTTTTCTTTCAGAGTATTTTATTTTTGATGTATGAGTTTCAATAATTTTTAATATAAACAATATAAAATATTATAAAACTTCACTTGAAAATCGTTCAATTAAGTTTATTTTTAGTACGTATTTAATTAAATTCTTTGAAAGGATTTTACAAAAATGCTATGACGAGAAATATTCTCTGACCATCATATCTACTCTAATATTGGATCAAAGAGAATAACCCAAGTAAAAATGTCTTATTTCAATTATATGCAAAATTTAATTTGTGGAATTTATATTACAATGTATCTTTTTACAAAAAATATTCACAGATCATCTAATATCTAAAAATATTGTTGCAAAATTTTAATTTAAAATACTTAACAATACAAAGATTACCTAATTATTTTTGCAATAATATTTTCAAATTATACATAATTATATAATGTTAATCAAATTAAAATAATCTCACTAGAAGGTTTTTTTTTAATTCATTTTAAATGCTTTTTTAAAAAAAAAAATTATTCTAAAACTTAATATAAACAATTGTTCATTTTTAGTCAGAAATAAATTTAAATTTTTTCAAAGACTTTATGTTTTATCTTGGTGTCTTCTTATATCTGTAAATATTTTTTATAAAGACCAAACTGTATATAAATCAAATACATATTTAGTATACAATTTGCATAAAATATATTTACATGGGTAGATTCACAAATTTCCATTTTTTAATAATAAAAAAGAAAAAAGTTTAAAAAAAATCAAGTGAAAAATTCTTAGTTGTTTATTGCAAGAAAGCTTTCGAAGGGAGAAATGATTTAAAATCCCTGTTTGAAGTACAAATCTTTTCTTATCTAGACTATTGATAAAAATATTCATTGTTTAACAATGATATTTCCGGTTTACATTCAAAAAATGATATTATATTGTTGTTTAATTTCAATCCATGACAAATAATATCTCAAAAGAGCATTTTGCAATAAACAAGCAAATATTTACAATAACTCGTTTATACGTAGAATGGATATTTTTCATGTATTCAACCGATGTCGATTTAGAGTATTTAATTGAGATGCTTTTGTAAACAGTTGAAAAGTATTGAAAAAAAGCATTACTTTATTCCTGTGATAAAAAATATCAAACAAAATTTCGAAAAAAATTCATCATTGTTTACATTTATAAAATTTTTTTTAATAAATATCTTTTTAGACTTTATTTAAAAATAGTTGAAAGGAAAAATCATAGAAGTTTGAATAGAAAAAAAGTTTTAAATTGACAAGAATATTTGACAGTAGTCATAACTCTTTTTCATCGCAATTAATTAGCAAAAAGAAAATTAGGAAAATTATTTTGCCTTCAGTCAACTTGATAGAAAAAAATAATTTAACTAATTAAAAAAAAAATTCCTAGCAAACTTTGAAAAAAATCTAATCAGTTACAAAAAATATAATGACATCTAACTACCAAATTTTTCTTTATCAAAATAAAATAAAAAAGTTTCTAATGTATTGGGATTTTTCTTGAACCGTTACTCAAATTTATCCGCATACGCTTTAATGAAGATTCTCGTGCAAACAGTTAGAAAACTCTTTGGGAAGACTGAAAAAAAGTGACTCATTTGCATTAATTATGTGTACATTATTCCACTTAAAACCTACGATACATTATTATATATATATAATTCATATGTATATGTATAATAATCATATATTTACATAAAAGAGAGAACCTTGATTATTTGTTTAATAATAGTAATACTCGACTCATTGAATATCGATTAACTGCGCTAATATTTCAAGGTGTCATAAATATTGCTCACATTATTGCGCACGCGTTATAATTATACATCCCAACACTATTATTATTTTTTATTCACTTTTTCGTCATTTTTCTGTTTCAAATCCTCCGCTTAACCCGTTTTTAACTTTAGACTTCATAACTTTAATAGAAAAATAAATAAATGATCATTTACAAGATGAGAAAGATGATTGAATTCGACCACTTGACAAAGACTTGGACACAAAGTCATTATCTTTTAAATCCTTATTTAATATCTTTCACTTATATTCTCCATGTTTTTTTTGTTATATTTTTTATTATTTTTTTATCCCTTTCTTACAAGTGTATAAATGTCCTTAGGATCATTTCAACCTTCCATCATACATCCAATAAAGTTAAGACCTAAGATATGTCTTCAGCAAGATGATTGTCGTTGACATAATCGCTAGTGAATGGACAACTTTGACCTGAGACTATCTATATTGCGCTCACAATTGTATCCCGGTGTTGTTTACCAACCTGTCCTACTTGACAACTGTCAGCACTTGACCTATGACTGATATTACATTCAACGATTGATCCATTCCTCTTTTGAACGATTACTGAACGAAATTCACCACATTCACTAGTTGATGGTTGATTTCCTCGTGCTCTCGCGCCTTTTGTGAGAATGCGTTTGAATGCCTCGCGAAATTCAGTGTTGAAAATGCTGTAGATTATTGGGTTAAAGGCCGAGTTGCTATAACCGAGCCAGGTGAGAACCTAGATGAAAGAAAATTTGGTTATTTATTTATTCACAAAGAGGAAGTGTTTTAAATTGTTTTTTTTCCCCCTATTTGATGTTAGAATTACCTGAAAAGCTCGGTCGGGAATGCAAGTTTTACAGAATGAGGCAACAATGTTGACGCAAAAAAAAGGTACCCAACATATGAGAAAGACACCCATAATAACACCTACAGTTATTGCTGCTTTATGATCAGAAACATGATAAGGACTCGTTGGCTTCGTCTTTGCTGGTGGTTTAGTCTTTGTTTGTTGAAGCTTTCGTGTACTTTTAACACGAAAACTCTTTGCCAGTGATGGTTGAGGGAGTTTGGTTACAGCACGTATACTTTTTACGTGTTTCTGAGCATAACAGTAAAGTCTGCAGTAGATGCTGACCATTACGATGCAAGGGACGTAGAAGGATATGCACGATGATACGACGGCATAAGTTGGTGATAGATCCAAAGCACACGTCGGGAATTCCTGTTGAATTTTTTTTATGCTTTATTTTATTCTTATTTAACACTTGTTTCACGCACTATCTTAACTTTAAAATATTTAAATTAAGAAAAACTGCTGAATTAAGAATAGTTTTTTTCTAAGTCTAAGATGAAGATAGAAATTATTTTTTATAATGATATTCAGCTTCATCAATATTCTGGAAGTGAAGGTTGTCTTATAGTTTATTAGTATAAAGACTTTAAGGTAAACGATATTTATGAGAAAAATAAGAATGAATTTGCAAAGGTACTATAAATATTTTAAAGAATGCAAAAAATTTTGACAATGTGTCAGTACATTATTTATCATAAATTGTGTTTTATCCTAAATGTATGAAAGCATTATTGTTGAAGCGATAATAGCAAACTGTCAATAGATGTTTTAGAGTTTAGTCAAGTTAAAGGTATTTCATTATCTGATGGATATTGAATATCAAATTCTTATATTGTTTTATCAAGAGTAAATAAAGATGGAAAATATGTTGATAATAATACATTCATTTAATTACAATGAAAAGAAAAACTTATACTTATTTTTGTGAAAAATTAAAAAAACAATTCAACGCTTTTATAGTTATTCAGTCTTCTAAATAAAATAGAACAAAAAATTTGTTGATGGTTACGAAAAGTAATCTTGTTGTCAGAGCTTTTTATTACATTTACAAAAAAAAATTGAAGAATAGAGATCTAAGGACCAAGCTGTGTGATTTAAATATTGAAGAACAGCAAAAAAAAAGAAAAAAAGAAAGACTTAGAAATTTACCTGTGTCCCATCGTCGTAGGTTAGAGATGAGTTTTTTGAATCTTGACTTTTGTGAAGTCCTAAGCTGATAGGGACAAATGAAACTGTTCCAGCTAGAAGCCAAACAACTGCAATACTCGCTACGGCGATCCTTCTCGTTACCCAACGACCGTACCTAAAGTAATTAATTCTCTTAGTTCCGCTAGATTAATTAAGACTTGAAATATTCCCATCTCTCTCTTGAATTAAAGTACCTCAAAGGATCCTTGATATGAATATACCGATCCAGAGAGATTGCACACAAATTCAGTATCGAGGCAGTGCTACACATGACATCGAATGCGATCCACGTATCGCAAAATCTTGGTCCAAACATCCAATAACCTAGGAGATCATTCACACCGGCGAAAGTCATCACCAAACAACCCACAAAGAGGTCGGCTATTGCTAAGGAGGCCAGGAAAAGGTTTCCTATTCGTCTAAGTCCACGGTCTGTATAAATTGCAACACACACAAGTACATTGCCTGCTACTGATAGAAATATCAAGACGAATAGGAGGAAACCTGTGGAAAATGCATGATAATAAATCATTACCTATTGTTCACCTTACTGAGAAAAGGATTTTCTTATAATTAATCAATCTCACTTGAACAACGAAATTGTGTGATTTTAGATAACTCAATGAATTAGATATATTAATTGTTCGTTGAAAATAATTGATACAATTATTTTTTTTATTAATTAATGAATTTATAGAGGAGATTGTAGTTTGATAAAATAAAGTGTGTTCTCTTTGCAAGAATTAATTAATGACTATCAATAAATCTCAAATTTAATGAAAACCTGGTGAGACTTTATCAGACCATTTACTTTGACTAGACACTGGATATTATTTAGTAATCAATTTTAAAAGATTTACATTTTTTGGTTTAATTCAATTGGCTTTTGTGTTTTGACGATAGAAGGGATTATTATTCGCAATTGGGATTAATGTTGGAATACATATTGATTGTATTAATCAATCAATGACATCATTAATGAATAGCATAGTTAATTAACAGATGAAAATTGATAATACGTTCTGTTAATGATTAAATATCTGAATAAAGAGAAGTCAATTTCAATGGAGTGTTAAAATTATTACTTATAAAAACAACACTAATGTATTTTTTATAGAGTTATATATTTTTTTTTTATCTATTTCATTGACCTCTATTTATAATCCGACTAAAGGATTTTTTTCCAAACATTACTTGTGAATTTACTACTACTAGTCACGGCCGCTTCATCATCACCTTTGAAATCATGAAAAAAATAAAATCACTTTTTACGGGCGAATACACGAATCCGTATAAAATACAAATGTGCCGTAACTCAAAAACTGTAGGTGATAGAAAAAAATGATGGGATTTTTCGAATCAGCAACTCAAGCATGCTCACGAAAAAATCCGTATTTATTGGCACCAAAATGTAAAATAGATGGTACAATATACGTCAAAAAAGAGCTTTGATAAAAATTAAAATAATAATGACAAATATTATCAAAAAATATCATAAAATAAATCAAGGTATTTTCAAGACATCAAAGCCAATTCATTGATTATAAAAAATTCATTTTCTCAGCTTTAAAACTAAGTCATTATTTTAATTAATTTTATCCGTAAGCCATGCTTTATAAACCGTTTTATCTATTATTTACACGATAATCAAGACTATCCCTTTCCTTTAGAAAGATTCAATCAATTAAAATACCAAACCATTATTATAAATTAATTTATTATTAATGACTCTTTTACGTGCTTGCCTCATATAATACACAAAAGGATTAATCCTATTAAATCAATTAACTTATAATTATTATAATGAATTATCTAGATGAGATAAAATGTTTATAAAAAAGAAGTGTAATGGAGAGTTTGAAGGTTATGTGAGTAAACTGAATAAATGAAGACTTGATATTTAAAAATAATTATTTCAACAAGAGAATTCGATCCTTAGTGAAATGATGTTATTATAAGGATGAATCTAAGCTTAAATATTGATCTTAGAAACGATTAGATAACAGCCGGAGAATAAACTCTTAATGGAGTTATCTTAATAAGATTTTTTATAAAGCTCACAGGACCCGAAAAAGTCAAAGTTATTAAAGAAACCCCGAAGGAAAAAAAAAATAATTAAATTTATTTTACCGACGAATAGCAGTGATAGTAATGACAAAGCGTCCTCTGGTAAATCCTCTTCATCTTCTGTCGAGTTATTCTGCAATTGTAGCAAAAGAATTATATTATTATTCACCAATTTGCATCATCTTTTTATAATAAAATTTCTTTCACTATTACTTTCTTCTCTTGACTTAATATTTAAGAAAAAAAATTTATTTCACTCCATGATACCAATGTACATCATTTGCATTCTTTGAAATTTTATCTATCCTATTTTTTCATCCGTAATCTCTTTAAATAGCTCATGAAAATTTAATAAAAAATTACCCCATTGTTCTCAGTTTCTCTATTTGACTTAATTCTCATACTTGCTCAGCATGTAATTTTATTTCATTTCAAGTTGTACCATTTTAATTTGACCCTCAGTAAAAAAGAATCATCATTAATTTTGTCTAATTTGTCCTGACCTTTTCTCATCATTTATGTATTTATTCATTTATTTATCCATCAATCTACTTTTATCTGATTTAAGGTTGAAATAAATTTTTTTCCTTACAAATTTACCATGTTCCAAAGTATCTTTAAGCTAATGTCAATTTTTAAAGATAAATAAGTTTCTTGATCTCTATGTATTCCCACCAAGTTTTATCATGTAGCATTTTCTGTAATCCAAACATCCCTTCTTTCCCATTTATCCTGACTACGAAAGAAAAAGTTCAGATAAAGCCATTCAATATCCAATCGTGCGAAGGGGAACATTTTTTATTATATGATTCTTGCTTTAGGCAAACGCTCAAAAATAAAAACATGTAGAAAGATTGAGCTAATATAAATTTTAAAAAAGAACAAATCACCATTCTCATAGGTTAAAAGTAACAAAAAAAAAAATTTTTATTCTATATCTAATAAAAAAAAAAAATACATGAATAACTTGAATGAAAAGCATAGTTAATTGACGATAAAATGGTGATCAAAATCATTATTTAATACTTAGCCATTTCAGTGCTATTGTGCTACAGAAAAATTTGAATACATTTGATGAATATGGTTATTGTTATGACTGTTAAACTTTAGTTAAAGAAAGGAAAAAGGAATAAAATTCCAAATAGCAATATTTTGAACAAAATAATAAGCTTGCAAGTGAAAAAGATAATGGATGAAAAAAAAAAACAATGATGAAATAAAAAGCAAAGTAGCTCACAATAAATATCTGAGAGAATAAATTAACTCGATTTTTATCCTCATATGTGAATACATACTGTTGTATTTGTCTGCATAGATTTTTTTAAGTTTTTTATTCTTTAACACTGCTGAAGAACGGTGAACAATTTGTTTTAATTTTTTGTCTTTTTAATGATAAACAGTAAAATTCTTTAAAACCTTGCAAATGATAATATGAAGTAAAAAAAATTCACAAGCAAAGCAGCTTATGAGTGTTGGAATACGATAGGGTAATAAAAAAGATGGAAATAAATACTTGATGTCTATATTTGTATTGGTGAAGACAATGATAATAATAACAGTAATGATTATAATAATAATAATGTTGGTTAAGTAGTACTTGAGCCAATAGAAGTTTTCTGAGAGAGAAACTGTGATGGTAAATTCTATTCTTTTAATACAAATAGAGGTGATGTCTTAAAGTGAATCAGTTAAAATCACAGTGAATCAAGGAGTACTCAGTAATTCTCATTGATTTAAGTAAAGGGAGATAGAGGGAAGGAAGCTGTAAAAAGGAACTTTTTCTCTAAATTCATATTCTTCACAGGTTTTAGAGTTTAATGAAAATTCTTCAAGTGTCAAAAGGTTGTGCATGAGCAGTTTTCAAATGTTTCAAAAACTCTGATGTTTTAGCTCTACTTTGTTTTAATGATAGTAATTTATTTAATCAATTGTCATTAATGAATGTTTTTTTTAAAATAAGATAACTGTTTACAAATAAAAAAAAATAAATATAAGAATGTCTAGATGGTGTATGGATTTTCGTACAATAATTTATATTTTAAAAAGTATTACAGTGGAAGTGAGGATGTTACTGAAGCTAAATAGAATGTTTTTGTTGGAGACGAAAATGACATGACTTGAAAGTTAATGTTGAGATACTAGTTACTTTTGATGTGCAATTTTTTTGCAAGACAAAATGTATGGAGTTCAATTTTTATTTAGGAATAATAGTTGGTAAAAAAATTGAGATCAACCCTCAGTGCAAAATTGATGGAAAAAGGTGGGGATAAGAAAGCCATTTCATTTTCTTCGAGATAAATAATCGAAAAAATATGTATTTTTGGATAGATAGCAATATTATTAAATATTCATGAGTGATGGTTATCCAACATTACTATTAGAAACATCATGTATTCACTGCAAACATGTATTCAAAAACTTTTTAAAGTTATGTTGATTTAAAATCTTGACTCTTTCATGCTTACTTTCTTTTATTCAACTTTTTTCTGCATATTTGAAGACGGAATATTCTAAAATGAAATAAATACCTTGTGGTAGAAAATAATTATCTTGAAATTAAAATTAAAATACGTGCAAAAAATTATGTAAATTAATAAAATGTCTTTTTATACACGTAAATTAGTTTTGATATATTTTTTTCTCTTGCTAACTTGTATCAACTTTGCAAAGAAACTTGTCGCAAATCCCTAAATAAAATGATTTCAAATCAAGAAGAGTTTTAAATTTCTTCCAAACTATTCCTTTGATAAAAGACGTATATACTTTCGAGTATTTATTTTATGAAGAGCATTTTTTTATTCAAAATCAATAAAATGTTCATTATTGCAATCTTTATGATAATAATATACCTTTTTCATAAAAAGATTTTCTTAATATTTTATTTAATTGTGCAAGCAGTTTTAATGGTGAAAATTGAATTGATTGAAAGTCATTTGATGTAATCAATGAAAATATATTTATTCAGTAATTTTACTGATGAACAAATTTTCCGCTCTTTCATTTGGATCAATTGGGAATTAAACTAAATTTGATCAAGATTTTCTCCATAAAATAATAATCTTTATCAACTGTTGAATTTTTCATGACACTTCATTTATTTATTTTTTAATTTTTTTATCAATTTCAATAAATAAATAAGACAATAAAATTAATTACTATACTCATAAATTCAATCAAAGATTAATCAAATTTAATGTTTAAAATATTTTTAACAATCCAATAGAATAAACATTTAAAATGACAAATGTATTTATTCAGTGTGTACAATGTTTTATCACATCAAACCACAGGAAAATGATAATACCTTACAGTGCAACCGTTTTCCAAATCTGATATATTACAGTAAAGTACACAATGCTTGTGTAATTTTTAAAAGTTTGTTTAAAACCCTGTAAATAAATACTATCTATTCCTCCCAATAAAAAACTATATATTAAAATCATTATTCATAATCTTTCCCTTTCTTTTTAAATTCAATTAAAAAAAAATTAAATCTCAGTAAATATTACTCCAAAAAAAAAGATTTATTCCAAAGTCAAGCAATTACTCAACAACTGTATATAAAAGAAAGGTATCAAGGTAAATTTAAATTATGAAAAGCAAAGTGAGTTAAATAGATGAAAAGGGGAGCATGTATACAAGCAAACTGTTGCTAGTTAACGACCAAGTGTCTCCAAACACTTGACTATAATCACAGAGTATGAAAACAAATGCAGAAGAGAGTGTTGGGTGTGAAGTTAAAACTGAATGAAAGCAGCATTAGTATCTCTAACAAACACTTAAAGGCAACAGAAAATATTCTAGAACAAGAGGATAAAATTGGAGGGTGGTTTCAGAGAATTATCTGTCCTGAACTATGAGGAGAAAAAGAGAATTTTCTCTAGAAGGTTTTAACCCTCCCTGAGGGTGTCGGATACGTTGCGCGCGCGTCCGTTCAACCATTTGCTCAACCAAGCTATAGAACCAGAGCTACGGATTTGAGGGCACCCCTCGCACTCTCTCACTCTCACCCTTGGTCTAGGCTGATCGATGCTCGTCCACAGTAACTTTGTTGTTGCTCTTGCCACACCCACACAGTCCCATGAGACCATGAGCAGACTTTGACGAACTTTATTCAATGACTTGAGTTACGACACAACAATCGAATACCAGTTTTACTCTTTTACCTTCTCTACTGTTTATGAACACTTTTCGAAAAAATAACCATCCTACTCAGTACCAACTATTAAATATACTACTTTAAAGAGGACATTCTCAAGGGAGATTTTAACTACACAATCAACTGTACATCACCATAGTAGTATTTGAGATAATCACATTTAGAGAATACAAGAACTAGATTATCATGAGGAAAATCTTCTTAATTATCTTTATGGTAATTCACCTTAATAGTCTTGCCAGTAAGGATTTAAATTTGCAAAGACAGAGTGATTCTTGTCGGCTACTTTAAGTGACTGCCCTTTTTTTTATACTTCCAGAAACCGTACTAAACATTGTTTACTGCTTATTTATTTTGACATAAAATACTTTTTTTTTATGATTTGAATATATATATACATATTTTTTTTTTCTCTCTTTATTATTGTACCTTTACTTTTTTTTCAATAGAGAGATACAGCAATCATTCTTTATTCATAATATGCAAAAATACTTACTATGCAGTAATAAAAAAGAATCAATGGTGGTATTAATTTTTATATTCTTCTTCAAGCGCTAAAATATCGCCTTTTCTTTACCGATCATTTCATATAACATTGTTGGCCAATAAAATCAAACATTTTTTGTTGTTGTTTTTTTAACGCAATTTTTTTTTTCACATTCTAGTATCCGTGATATATAATGGTTTTCTTCATCTCAAACCATTTCAATTTTATCGTTAGAGTTGATGTACTTTTTTTTCCTCTTTTCACTTTGAACTGATGCTGAAACTTGGCATTTGGAATGATATCGGATTTCTCATTTCTTTTCTCATTTTATTCTTATTTATATTTGATGTGCTTTCGCAATGGATTTGAAGTGTTTTTTAAACGTAGCAGAAGATGTAGCATCAAGCTTAAGAAATGATATCCGTTTGAAAGATATTTTTAAAAAATGTCCCCTCCTTAAAAATATAATAAAATAAAAGATAAGTTGTAGAAAAGTGCACTTTAAATTCAGTTTCCGGCGTACCCAAAACTCGCGTGACTGACTATTCCAGAAGTAATTTTTTTCTTTTACTTTTCCACTTCCTTCCTTTCTCGTTTACCTTTTTTTTCTACGCTTTAACGTAACCTTTCTCTCTCTTTCTCTTCGGTCTAACTTTCAATTTGCGACGCCCCGATAACTTGACTCTTGATTTTACTCAAGTAACAAGTCTAAAGTGTGTAAATTTTCTTTAACTTCAATAAAAGAATCTTTGTAAAATTTTCTAATTTCCTCGTAATGACTCTTTTACTACTTTTTCATGACACTTCAACATATAAACCATTTTACTAGTTCATAAGAGTGTGTAAATGAATAGTTATCAATTATTTTCCATACCATGAATTATCAAGTGTACTTAATAATTATTTTCACGGTTTATTAACAGTTTAATTAAATAACTTCAATTGATTTGAATAACAGAGTTTTTAAACTACATTCTGGTAATAAAAAAAATGATAACTTTAAATGATATTGTAAATGTAATATTATGTATTAAAATTTTTATTCTTATGAAACTTACTTCAAGCCATTATTCGTCTTATATTTGAAATAAATTTTATAGATGAAAATAAATGTCTTAAATGTCGCGGTTTTTATAATGTTGCGGAAGTACCTTGCATCATAAGATTTCGATCTCAATTTCAAGAGCAAATTTAAGTGCATTGGTATTTTACACAAGTATCAACTTGAATTTCACTTTAATATAATCAATATTCTACGCTTGTAGATATTAGAGGAAGTTATAAATTTGAGTGATTGTCAATTTTCTCATTTATTTGTTTATTTATGTGACACTAGTCTATAAGATTTATGTGATAAAACAGGCTGTAGCAAAATAAATTATTTTTACATGTTATTAAAATTTTGACAAATATTTTTAAAATTATATTACCCCTGTGTATTGAAATAGAATAATTAATTTTATCAATTAATTAAAATTTTTTGATAATAATTTAATTATTTATTGAAATGAAATTCAATTGAAAAAAAAAAATTTGTCTCTTTGAAATGAAGACTAATTAATTTATCTGAAAATTGCAGTAATTGATTAAATAAAAATATTTATTTTAATTTCATCGACTGAATTGAAAAAAATTTATCTTCCACAGAATTATGAGTAATAATTTATCATGTTTTGATATATCTATTGAGAAAATAAAATTAAAAAAAAATGTACTGAACAAAATCGTTTTAAAATAATAATACGAATTGTAACAGATGTCAGGTGTAGTTGCCGGTGACACTGACCTAACTCAAGCTCAGACCAACCACAAGGAAAATGATCCCTTCATAGTCAGAAAAATTCTCTTTTTTTACTTCTCACCAAATTGGATTTCTTGATATGAGAAATGATTTCCTCTGACTTTTTATTTCCCATACGTGAAGCAAATTGTAAATTTAATTATAAAAAATTATTGACGATGCAACGTTCTTTTCTAAATCCGATCTTTTTTACTTAATAGAATTATGGTGTTGAGGAGAGAAAAAAAATTAATCCAGAACAACTAAACCATCATCTGCTTCATATGTGCATTAATAATGAAAAAAATAAATGTGAAAATAAATCATAACTGTAAGCTTAATTAAAACAAGTGAATGCATAACGAATGTATTCGAGTATTAAAAGGGGAAGAAAAATGAAACGAAAAAGGCATAATTTTTTGAACAAAAGTTTATTATTGGGAAACAAAAGCGAATGTAGGCAGCCTATTAAAGACTTGAAAACTATCTCAAGTGGTTAAATATCTCGGACATCACGCTTTTCATTCCAATCATTGTTGGAGTGGTGATAACGAAGGTAATTCTGTTCTTTTGAGTTTTCATCGATTCGTTTGTTCATGGGAGGGACAGATGAATATACAGATTGGAGATAGAAGATAATTAAATTCTATTTGTTGTACCGAGAGCACGTATCTCCGTGGCGCTAATTGGATAGTTAATTCCAGCGAATGGTCGGATAAATGGTCAGGTCGTGGGTAGACTCTAAATCGTATTTGGCTGAACACTAGTCACATACACCATCCAATGATTTTCACCAAACTAAACATATCTAAATATCCACTTGTGTATACAAATAAACCACAATACACGAATTCCATTATTCCCTCATAAATTCCTCTTTCATATTTTTCATTTATCCTTTCTCCCTCTATACTTCCATTCCACCACAATAAAAGAAAATACTTGTCGCACTTTAACGCTTGTTGATGTATTTACTATCATCATTTTGGAGGAAATTAGAAAAATATTCAATAAAGAGTCCATGAGTTAAATTTTTTCTCCAATCTTGTGTTTGATTTATTCCAATTAGTTTTTAATTAATTGTCACTCGGTGTATTACAAAAGTGTCTGTTATTATCCTGATCAAAAATTTGAGATTCTACAGATTGTTTGCAACAGTTGATGATGGTAAATAAATTCAATTTCAACAACAAGCAGGCAACAAGTTAAATATAAATTAATATTAATTATTAAACTATTTTTTTATGACACTTTTTTATGGTAAACAATAATTCAGAATATAAAGTTGAGAGTTTGATTAAAACTTTGAATATTTGATTTTTAATTATAAAAAAAAAATTGTTAGTTATCGAAAGTATGAATGGAAAAATAATTCTAGACGATAGAAAAGTTGGAATCTAATTTTCGTGAAAATAATTTCGAGTAAAAAAGTCATTGACTGAGTAAAGTTTAAGTTGGAAAATTAGTAATCTTTTGAAAGGTTAAAGATATTTATAGACATGCTTTGGTAGTAATAATTGGCAAGAATAAACATAGATAGGGAGAGAATATTAATGAAAGAAAAATAGAATGATGAAGTTTTCGTTGGCAAAGTGTGTTAGCTAGTTCTAATAGTATTATGATACTTGGATTAGTTGGTAAATTGTTCTCTTGAAAAATACACATCACATGTATGTATCTTGAGATAATTTATACATTGACTATTATATATTACACTGAAGTTTATACATTTAAATACTTGTCTTAAACCAGGTGAAATTTCAAAACCACCTTGTTAATTCTATCCTTAAATCCAATTTAATCAAGCAGACACATAAACTGTAAAATCATTTCCACTTGTCTAATACTCAGATAAATCCCAATAAACCACAATCACTGATTTCATTGTTTGTTCATATCCTTCAATCTTTTCCAAATAATTTTCATCATAATTTCATTATTCAATTATTTTCCTCTCGTTTTTATTTTTTTCTCTCTTTCTCACCTTCTCCGGATTTTCTATCCATAAATATCCCATGTCGTCACAGCTGTCAATAGTTGTCGAATCCAACTAGCTTTGATAAACATCCATATATCCTTTTTTCAATCTTTTCAATCGTAAAAAAATTAAATTGGACAAAAATTAATTTTACTTCCACAATCTTTATTACATTTTGTAATTGATCTGTCTAGTTGGTATTTTTATTACTACTATTTTAAATTAAAAAATTCACACACGTCTTCCAAAATGGCCACTGATCGATTTATTTATTTATAAAAACTTTTCCAATAAAATTCCAATTTAACTCATTTTAAAAAATTTTCATATTTTATTTATACGTTCGCAAATAGTTCTTATTGTTAACGCGTATCATTTATCACTTGTGTATATATATATATATATCCATCCATGAAGATTCTGCAAACCTTGAAGTTTATCTCTCGCCGTCGGAACCTGTTGCAACACCTTGTACACGAACTTTGGAAGCCCTTCCAATTCGCGTTTATCACTCGTATTGTTGTGGTTCTAGTAACTCTCTAATCTACCACTAAAAAAATAAACAAGACACATAGGGATTGTGCAAGAAGAACAGTAGGATCATGCTTCTAAAAAATATATATATAACTAATATAGTTTATGTAATAAGAAAAAAAAAATTTGACAAAATTCTAAAATTGAAGTTAAATCGAAAAAATTTTGGAATTTTGATAAAATTTTTTTTTTCGATTGAACAAACAAATATAGTGTTTATTATTAGTGTCATGTGATCATGCCTCATGATGGTATTGGAAGTGTCTAAGAGAAGACTCGTGGGTGCGCTCACCTGGGGTAGAATCATGACGTGCGGCAGCTGGCGCGCCTCGCCGCGCACTGACTGGCCGCTCCGCACCCCGAGCATCACCCCCGAGAGAGAGCGTGCGAGTGATCCTCCCACCCTTTCTCTTTTCGCTACGTATAGAGACACCTCTTGTCTGTAGTGTAGTCTACATATGTAATGGGGTATGTAGCAAATCTATGGTCAAACATATGCATCCACATACCGGGTACACTAGCATATCAGATGTATATTTTATCAACCAATGCAATAAACATGTAAATTGAAGTGCAAAGTGTCTTTTCAGCCTATCGCTTATATGCTTGATCAGGAAAATAAAAGTCAACAAATAGAATGGCAAAGCGATGAATGTTTTAAGACTAGATTGAACGAGCAAACTATGGAAATTGGATGGTAGAGTCCTAGGACGACTCATGGGAACTACGAAATAATCCAAAGGATTGATGAGTCTGGCATTAATCAAATAATCGCGTAATTTCCCGTGTACCTATTGGTAACGACAAGTCGCACGCGCTGCGAGATCATTCAAATGTGTTATTATTGAAGAGCTGAATAAGGCTAGAGTGATGATAATCTTAGTCACTTCTTCCTTACTTACCCGACTTAAAATGGTCATTTTTTAAACGTTCCCAAAGGAGGCCCGATTTGAATTCAAATTATTTTGCAAGCCCACAAAACACCCAATTCAAACCCAAAAATATTTTTTAGATCCACAACAGGCCCAATTCAAGCCCGTTTCTCAAGAGTATACTCGATGATAATAACAATAAATTGTTACAACTGTAAATTTTTATAATAATTGTTTAAGATTAGGCTTCAATCGGGTCTGAATTGAGCTTTTTTTTCATTTTGAGTGTATTTTAATTCCATTTTTTACTGTAAATATAAATAAATAATTACTCTTTAAACTTTTATTAATAATAACTATGATAAAAGAGCTCATTTTGCTACTGACAACTAAATTATCACAGCCTTCAAATTTTCGATTACGGAATGAACATGCTTTCGCCGACAATCAAATTTTACATCTGGTGGTTATCAGAAACTCAAGTAATTAATATTCGTTAAAGTCCATATTTAACAAAAGCTCTAGATAGTTTAGGATTTCTATAGGTCATATCTATCGAAAACACTGAATGGTATCTTCACATAGGGCACACAGTTCACCACCCCCTATATAGTCTTAAACTACATTATGTCGTTAAAAGTAGCAATAGAGAGATATAAAATAATCGTTAATTTTTCTCATTGCTTCAATAAAAGAATTATCCAAGTCTTTTTGTACGTGTATTTCGCATTTTTCCAATTTTTATGTGCACTTAAAAAAAAATAGTTCTTACGTATTTCTTTTGTTGCAAACTATAAAAATTTTTCCGAATCATAAATACATTTTTTTATATAAAAATAGTAAGTATTGTAGAATATATATTTTGATTGTCATTCAATTTAATAAACAATTCATTTTTAATTTTTCAAATAATTTGATTCTTATTAAATTAATCTTCTTAATTAATTTTATTTTAAATATTTATTCAAAAGTATTGATCAAATAAAATAAATATTTCTAAGCTAAAAGATGAGTTTTTTTTTTTAAATTACACAATAAAAATAAGTACTACCTATTGTACAGTTTATCTGGCTTAGAATACTTTAATCTCTTCAATTATACCAGACGACGAAAAAGGGTTTCTTTGACGGAAGTAATAAAACTACGTGATTTTCTGTGATTTTAATCCCTCGAATCCAAGTTTTATGAGTGTTATTTCATTACTGTGAATTCGTACTTGACAATTAAATGAACGATTAAAAAATCATTTTCATTTATTTTCATCAAATCCAAACATCTAGAGAGCATAGTATATGCATATACCTTTTTGCTGAGTTTAGATGCTTGCAAGAGTCAGCTTCAGAGAGACTATACCTACTGAAATACTCTGTCCGCCTTGTAGAGGCTTTTTCTACTTCGATACTTTTTCCAATCAATTATATCAGCAACGAGTTTGAATTTAAATCACCAATTACAGCTATGTTGAACGAATCTTGATGAAAAACATTTTTTTTTTCCTATCTCAAGACTAACATAATTGATCAATAACACATTTTGTTAGGACAGAATATTATTTTACAATAAATTATAAGGTTTCTGAAAATCAAATTCTATTTCAATGCTATTTTTATTCAACAGCGTTTTTGTTCACAAACAAATTCATTCAGCTTCAAATGAATTCTAGCAAAAAGTTTCTACAAAATATTGTTCTTTAGAATGTAATTAGAATCATTTGATTAAATAATTTCATATGATATGTTATTTTTTGAATAGAGAAATGATGTCCAGAATGATTCTCGAGTATGAATAAACTATATTCATAGTTTCATTGTAATCTATGTTTAATAGAAAAATAATTCCCACATAATATGAGAATTGTATTCCAACAAACTTGTTACTGAATTATTATACTGATCAACAAATGAATGCGAAATAAAATAGAAATTATTTCTATACATTTCTCTTCAAGCACAAACTTTATCTTCAGTCGTTTATACAATCTACAAAATCTCACGGGAGAAAAAATTTTCATGATGGAAATAGGTAGAAAGAATTTAATTTAATTTTAAAAAGTTCCTTTAGAATGCTAGAGAATACATTGACACTATTTATTATTTCATGTATTCTTCTGTTCTTTCAATTTGCAATTCCTGAGATATTTCTACATTTGTAAATTTAATTTTACCAAATATGTATTATATAAATTCCATGATGATATTTGTGATTGAAAACTGAAATTTAATTATTCCAAGAATACTCTGAGATACCTGATTATATTTAAAGTCGACAGTTATAAAAATAAAAAAGAATTCCAACATAACTGACAGTTAATTGTCTGGTTTTATTTATTCACATTTAGCATTTCATTCAATATCTATCGTAGTTAAATGGAAATTAATTAAAAGAAAATAATTATCATTATTCAATGAGGATATGTTTAATAGTTCTAGAAAGAAACCAGGTGTAACATTTTTGTTTTTAAAATACATATTTTTACACACTGGCATATCAAGAAAGAAGCTTTAATTGGTATATTGAAGCTTGTAAATTTTCTTTTTTATCATGTCAGAATAATTCTTTGTCTCAAAAAATATTATCAAAGAAATATTTTTGAAATGAATAGAGAAAAGCTCAAATTACCTCTGCAATCAAAGCGTGGAAATTAATTAAAATCTGCAATTTTTTACAAACGTTACCTTCTCTTCTATCTTTTTAAGTCAATTCTGTAGCAACTACCATTAAAATCTTTCTTCTACATGAATAATATTTCTTTTTACAACTAATTCTATTTATAACACTTGAAGAACTTTCATCCTAACAATATAATCTCAAACATTAAAACCATTTGCTTGAGAAACGTTGCATTATCAGTAATACTACTTACACACTAATCAGTGGTAGCTTTTGTGTCAGGATTTTCAGGAAACAATTGCCAACTTTATTCCTATTCTACCTTTTCAACTTTCACCATTACTGGGTAGAAAGCAGCAGACATCTTGGACTTAGCCTAGAAAAATAATTTTACAAGATCCAAGTTCCTAAAAGTGTACCTAGAGTACCCGAAAAAGTTGAAGTGCAGTAGAAAGATAGATAATGTAAGTAGGTCAACTTATGTTCAAGTTAAAGCTCAGAGCCAAGCATTAGCATCAACTCCAGCATCAATAAGAACGTTTGTGAATGTATTAATGTACTGTTGGGTTGGTAAAGCGTAATGTAAACCACATATATCCATGGAAGTCGAGGAAGTCAACTTTATCATCATCATGTACTCATCGTTTTCGTCGTCGTTGTCAACTCAATGTGTTAGGGAGCAAAGCAGTAGGTTTAGACGGGCGTCAAGTATACGCTGCGGTGCCCCGGCTGTTCTCGGTTAAGCTCGGCCGATGCCGGAGACGGATAATCGTATTTGTCAAGCCTCGAGTGCTTTGCCCGTGCTTCGTTCAGCAAAGAGAGAGTATGAAAGAGAAGAGAGCGAGAAAGACTTGTCAAACATTTTATATTGGTTATCTTCGAGCATTTCTCATCATCTCGTGTTTATTCGAAATATTCATGAAATGGAAAAGCACAAAATAAGAATGTTAAACAATTAATTACTTGGAAACTATCTTTTAATTCGTATCTTGATGAGCTTTTTTCTTTACATTCATCTTCCAACTATCTATACTTCAAGTTTATTAAGTATGACATTAAATTCCATTTAGCAACTAGAATAATTAATTCTTACCAAACTTGCTGTGAATTTAATTGGTTTTCTTTGTCGAGAAACTTTTTTCCAAGTGCTCCAAGCACCTGATATCAAATGCTGTAATTTCAGTAATCATTTTCTACATGTTGATGCTGATTAATTCTTTATCTTTTTCTGTTAACACAATTGTGCTGATGTAATCTCAAAGTAAGTGAATAAATAATAAGTCGTTTGAAAATTTTTGATCAATATACGACAATCTTTACGCTTTCCAATGATGATATACTATAAATTATCAACAAGTCATCATCAACAAGCATTTAGAGTGAAAGTTGGAAATTATTTAAATGTTAATTATTTTTAATGACTCCATGACTTAAAATTTATTTGTATTTACTAATTTAGGTATAAAGAAATAATACTCTACTCCAAAAATATAATTAACATATGAAAATACACCTAATATTTTCTATTTTACCTTATAATAAAGTGGGTTAGAGTAAGATGGTTGAACTTATAAACCCTTTGGTGTATTTCAAAGATTATTCTTTCAGCAATTAATAAAGTTTACCTACAGAAAATAATTTATTGAAATTGTTTTATATCCTAGAAGTTCAATAATTCCAACCAATAATTCAAGAACACTTGGATATTTTTTTTCTTTAAAAGATTAATTAATTTTATTTATTAATGTATTGATATTTTAATAAACAATAGCATGAAAATTAATGATTGTACACAATGTTAAACAGCTTTGAAAATTTTAAAAGCTATTACCTGAAGGTGGTG